TTTAATAAAATATTTATTATTTGATATTTAATATATTTAATATTTAAATATTAAAACACATTTAATATTTATTCTCTGATCTAGTCTAGATAAAAACTTTAGATAGGTCTTTTTTTTTCAATGAAGATTACTATAAACTGCTAGACATTCTCTACTTATTTTGGAAGGAAAATACCAACAGTTATTTCAAATAAAAAAAACACCAATATTTTGTAGACATTAAAATTACTTACATAAGTTTTCAGCAAGGCAATATCCCCCTCATCCAGGGCTAAAAAAAAAAAGAGATTACAGATGAGAACAAAAAAAAAAAAAAACCTAGAGCCAACAAGTATTTTCTGTTTAATTCAAATTACATTCATCAAGTGAGAAAAATTGTAAAAAAGCTGTAATGATGTAATATAAATATCAAATAATCCCTGGACTCAGAAGCCTTTAATCGGGTGAAGATGGATTAAAAAAGCACCACAGTTGAAGAGTATCGAAGTGATGTAACACAACAAAAAGAGGGACCTGAATCAACAGATTTAGAACCAAAACCACCTGCACACTAATCCTAGCAAGCTCATCCTAGCATTTTCTAAGTAATCTTGCAGAAACCATTTAATCTCTCTGAGTATCAATTTTCTCATCTGAAAAATACAAATGGTACTAAATATACCCTCCTTGTTGCTGTAAAGATCAAACAGGATATGGATTAAAGCACATAAAATTCTATACACATTAGTCATAACTTTTTCAAAAGAAACATTTATGAATACATTCCAAAAATAACATACCCAGAGAAATACACAGAGCAAATATTAAATTCCTGTGACTAAATTTTCCACTAGGTGTCTGAATAACTGAGGTTTGCAGTGTCTTAAAAAAACTTTCAAGAGAGAGAACAGGGTGAAAGTAAAGAGAAAAATGTTCTTTCTTTGGGGGAAATGGAAGAGAAAGAGTGGTTGAAATTGTTTAGGAAGGTAAGAATAAGAGAAAAGATGGGGGGGCTGGGAACAAGAATGTTTTTAAATACCCTAGAATAGAAAAAAAAGGAAACAGCATAGAGATGAGACTACAAAGGGGGCTAATGTAAGAAGCAATGTATGTAAATGGCATGCATAACTCACGCACTGTGGGTAAAGGTGTCAAGTGTTGGCTCTACAGAGAATAATTTGGCACTACCAAAATTGTGGCCCCATTTCTAAAATTTACCTGCTGCTTGTTTGTGCATGTGATAAAAGGTATATGAACAACAGCATTTGTTGCTCTCTAACATTCAACAGGCTGGAAGAAATCTAAATGTCCATCAATAATGATTATTACTTACATTATTGTACACCCAAGAAAGTAGGATACTACGCATGTGTGAGCTATAGACTATGAACTTTTCCCTAAAATACATTAAGATTGAAAAAAAAAATGTGCAGCATGCTACATTTATGTAAAAAGGAAACTGTATAAGCAAAATTGCTTGTATATACATAGAAAATAGAAAACGCAAAATGTCGACATTAGCTGCCTCCGCAGATAAATGGGTCACTTAGATCAATAAGACACTAATCAATCTGTTTTTCTCTCGCTTTTTAGTTTTGAATCATGAGAATGCATTATCTAATCAAAGAAATGTTGTTTTTTAAAAAACCGTGTCTCAGGATCTGGCCAACACAGAGATAGCTCCAACCTGTCACACTTCAGAGGGAGGAGAAGAGAAAAGAAGACCCAGGTGACCGAGTACCGCCATACAGAAAGTTTTCGAGGCCTGAAAGGCCAAGCAGGGTGCGTGACGTCTCAGTGCTAACTATCAGTAAAAATTTCGATCCGAGGGGGATGAATAGAGGACTTGGAGTAGGATGAGGTAGGCAAAGAAGGCACGTAGGCTACCACGGCTATAATCCCAGACTATAAATCACTAGGGGCATAAAAGGGCCTCAGCGCCCTGCTTGGGACACGAATCAAGCCTCCCCTTCCAGGACCAAGTGTAGTCCTGCCGCGGGCCCGAAATCCTGCCTATGGCAACTGACCTCGGATGGGCTTGTCGTCTTTTTCATCTTCTTTGGTTTTCCGCTGATCCGCACCGAGGTAATCCGGCATTTTGGCCGACCAAGAGCTCCGGCACCTTAGTGATTACACAGCACCTTCCCGGGTTCCGGTGGTCCGGGGCCTTCTGCCTCCCCACCGGAAGCAGAGCCGGGTTCCGTGGGTTCCGTTACGCCGCTAGGGGCGGCAGAGAGCGCTGGGTGGAGAGTGGGAAGAATTCCTGTGAGAAGGTCCTGTCAGTGCCCTGGCCCTTTACCATAACAATTTTCCAGACCATTCCTGGCTCGACCGTTGGATTTAAATCCCCGTTTAGTCATTTTGTTATAGGACAGGGAGAGGGAACCTCCCCCTTTCCTGGGGACCACCCTGTTACAATTTGTTGACTATACACTCTTAGTAACTAGTTTATTGCTTTACTCTCTCCCCTTTTCGTCGCTGGGTTGTGGAGGGGTTGAGAGTGTCAAGTATCTAGCATATTAGAGATGGAACAAGTAAAGGCTAGACTTAAAAATAGAGTGAAGGTCAGTCTGAGGTTAACGGGAATAAGGAATTTACAGAAGAAAATATTGTGAGTTATATCGAATAAGGAGGTGACATCCTAAATATACACCTCAACAATAAGGAAACACAATTTGAAAAACGGGGATTGAGGGGTGGTAAATAGAGGAAAGAACAGTGCTCCACAGAGGGCATGCAAATGGCCAACAAGCACATGAAAAATGTTAAGCATCCCTAGTTATTAGAAAAATACAAATAAAACCAGTTGGGATGGTTACTATTAAAAAGAAAAAAAGAGGGCCTCCTCTGGTGGCACAAGGGGTTGAGCACAGCGCTGTGAAACTGTCTGCAACCTCTGCAGTGCGAGTTCGATCCCTGGCTAGGGAATTAACCACGTGACGCAGCAGACCTCTCCTGACTCGCCCGCTGCTCCCCTCAGCAGCGTGCTTTGGTCTATCTTCCTGTTCTGTTCCCTGCTCTGTTTCTGGTGAATCCTTTCATATCCCACACCTCTGGCCTGTACCCCAGTTGTTGTAATCATAAATAAAAATAAATCTTTTTTAAAAAGTGATTTAAAAAAAGAGAGAAACAAATGCCATTGAGGATGTGGAAAAGTGGAAATCTTGTGCATGGTGGTGGTACTAGAAAATGATGTAACCACTATGGAGAATAAATAGTATGACAGTTCCTCAAGAAATTAAAAATTGAATCAACACATGATTTAGCAAATCCACTTCTGGGTATATACCCAAAAGAATTGGAATAAGGGCCTCAAAGAGATACTTGTACATCCACATCCATAGCAGTGTTAATCACAATAATGAAATTGTGGAAGCAACCCATAGACACATGAATGAATAAGCAAAATATACATATGATGGAATAATAATCTGTCTTTAAAAGTAAAGAAATTCTAATACATACTAAAGTTTGAGGATGTTATGCCAAATTAATTAGCCAGTTTAAAAAAAAATAATCAACTGTGTGATTCCACTTACATGAGATATGTAGAGTTGTCAAGTTCATAGAAACAGAAAGTAAATGGTAGTGCACAGGGTAGGAGAATATACAAATGGGGAGTTATTTAATGGTTAAAAAGTTTCAATTTTGCAAGATAAAAAGTGTTCTGGAGACTTTTTGCCCCACCCCACCCCACCCCCCAGTGAATGTACTTAACACTTCTGCATTATACATTTAAAAATGATTAAGGTGATTATTTAATTTTATGTGTATTTTACTGCAATTAAAAAATCAGCATCGGGCTTCCCCGGTGGCGCAGCGGTTGAGCGCTGGGTTACAAAGCTGCCCGCAGACTCTGCAGCCCCGGTTCGATCCCCGGCCCCTGGCGAGGGTCCCACATGGCGCGCAGACCTCTCCTGCCGCCCGCTGCTCCCCTCAGCAGTGTATTTCGTCATTCTGCCTGTTCTGGTCCCCGCTCTGGCTCTGGTGAATTCTTTCACCCTCCCACACTTCTGCCTGTACCCAGTGCTTGTAATAAATAAATAAATCTTTAAAGAAAAAAATCAGCACCTTTATGACCTTCGAGATGATGATGGCATGAATGGTGGAGGTGAGATTAAAAAAAATCATTAATATTAAGAAAGTGGACTCAGGCTACTTTGCACTTTAGAGTCTGTTTTAATAGTGATTGCTAATAAAGAAATGAGTTGGGAGATGATTAGTTTGGTTTTTGAAATGACAATTTTGGCATGTGACAGAAATACAAGACAGCTCAACGTGTTTAACAGTGAAAATATAATTCATAAAGAATAATGGCTAATTTCTGTTGCTCTTTACTAAAGACTGAGATATCGACTCTTCTATTTTGCCTAACTTTTCCCAGCTACTGCTGTTACGGAATGAGTTTACCCACTGGTTTCCTTTTGCTAGTTCTTGCTTTTGCCCTCAAGCTTAGAACGAAGCATACAGAAGGAGAGGACAATTTATATTATTATAAGTAAGTTCCAGAGTCCTATAATTGGGTCTATCTTAAAGGAAATCTTCAGGTTGTCATGGCGGGGTAAAAATGTTGGCCATGGAACAGAAACTAAAGAGGGGTTTCTTTTCTAAATGTTTTGGGGATTAAGTGAGATAATGTAGGTAAGTTACTTCGTAATGGCACAACAAAATGTTACCTGTTGTTATTTTGGCAAACACAAGTACTTTACAGGTATATAAGCGGAATTCTCCGTGGTTGTGCCTGTAGATTTTCGTAGTCACTCTCACTACTGATTATTACATGGTTCCTCATTTTTCGTTTATAGTAGAGTTTCTGAAAATCAGTGGTTAGGTTCAAATTAACATATAAAGTAGTAGGAACTTCAAAGGGCTACAGCAAGCGCTACTTTAGAAAATTATGTTGTATGTAGGGTGTCTGGACGATGACAGGTATTTTTTTACACTCGGAACTGGTGCGTCTGGGAACCTTTCTTTCGTAAGTCCAGGTTCCCGGCCGGATCTGAGTCAGCGGAGGGCTAGGCTGCTGCACACGTTGGCGGGGGTGGGTGCGGGTGGAATTGGCCTCCGCACCGCGAAAGACCCATTACGGAAGTAGTTATTGGTCGTCTCCATGCGCCGGTTCCTGGGCACCGTAGAGCCAAGGCGCGAGGCTCAGAGGCGAAGGTAGAGCTAGAGGGCAAGCTCGGCGCTCTCCGCCCGGGACGCGAGCCGCTGTGCCGGCTGGGCTGGCCGCGGCGCCATCATGCTACTCCTGCCGAGCGCTGCGGACGGCCAGGGCACCGCCATCACCCACGCTCTGACCTCTGGTACGTGCCCACTCAACCCCGAACGCGTCTCGCCTCAGCAGCCCCTGTCTCAGTCCTCCACCTTGGAGACCCCGAGTTCTCTCTGTCCTTGCTCCTGGCGGCTAGCCCCTAGACATGTGGGGCCGTGACGTGCCTTTTTGCTCCTTGTTATACAAAATCTCCGTCCAGACTGGAAGGAAGGAAGGAGGGGGGCGTCTGCCTTCTGCCCCTGCGGTTTCTCCCTTCTGTCGTGACTGCTGACTCATGGATCGGGCTGAACAGTTCGGAACCGAACCCTCCAGTACCCTAAAAAGGTTCTCATAAAGCATCCTCTTGTGTACGGCAAGAGGTTGCCCGCAGCGAGCACCCCACGTGTCTCTGGTCGTACAAAGCCTAGCAGCTAGTGCTTTATTAAACACCTTACTACCTCTCTACATTTGCTCCGGCTTTGTTTTTTTAAACGTCAGAACTCAATGTTCCTCATACTCGGTATGGAAAGATTGTTTACCTGTGCTGCTGCTAAGGTCCGGTGTAGACACTTTTAAAGACAGTCAGTCATTCGGAGTGAAACTTGTCCTGCTGCTGTAGGGTGTTAAGTACACAGCTCGGGGCTGTCGCGGGTCTTGTATACTTAGTGTCCAGTTTCAGTGCTCTACATTAATTACCGTAATGTACTTGAATGTGATTTTGAACGTATCTTATGGCACATGTTTCATTTGTATTTATGGAAGTTTCTGTCTGTTTAATTTTAGAACTAGAAGGAAAGGTTTGAAAAGTCTTTAAAGCCACACCCACACTACAGTTAGTACTTCTTGGACGTAGTGCTGGAATCCTCTCCTGTATATGGTGGACGAAAACTTCATTTCCTAAAGCAATGAAGACGTGAAAAGTCAGTTGTTTTTAGAAAATTGTGGCTCTTATTTGGAGGAAAACCTTAGATCTGAGTTACTTATTACTGGGCAGAGAGAAGCTTTTTACTACATATGGAATAAGGAGTTAGAATTCAGGTGTGCGCGCTTTACCTGAGCCTAGTTATCTTTTTGAATTATTAATATGCAAATGTTCAGTGATTTCCCCCATTACAAGAGTAATGATAAAACCTTTTAAATGTTTGTGATTTTCAAATGTGCTTACAGGTTATTCAGTCTTTCAAAACTGTGTCAGATATTGTTTTTTACAGTTGAAGACATCTGTGACTTACTTTACGTAGCCACTAATAGTTAGACCTAGACTAAAATTCCGTTTCTGATTTCAGACCCAGAGGGTGTGCCATTGTAGCACAGGTGCATTGGTCAATCCCCATTAGCTGCTTGGAAGATTGTCCTTCAGAACACATCAGTGCTAATGAATTCTTAAAAAAATTTTAAGGCTCTCTGATTTCAAGGGTTTTAAATAAGATAATTTTGAGTTGTTTAGATGATTTTTTTATGAGACTACTTCTTTATTACAGCTAATCATTATTTGTTGCTTTATTACAAAAATTGGTCTAAAAGTAATGTAATTTACCACATTTCTCCCTTTTCCTCATCTCCCTATTAAATCCCCAGAAAAACATGGAAATCCTGGTGACATTGCTGAAGGTTTTGTCAGATAACTAGAAAAGTTTGCGTGAATACTCTGCTAATACTCAGAAATGATTATTCTTTACTAACCACATGTCAGATGGATTACTGCAATCTTTTTGTTGATTGGTAGCTTGTTTGTTTTTAATGTTTATTTTTATTAGAACTGGGGTGTAGGCTAGAAGTGCAGAGGGTAAGAGGATTTACCAGGAACAGAGCTGGGAGTAGAACAAGTGGATCTACTGAAATACACAGGCAAGACAGGAGAGGTCTGCTGTGCCATGTGGGTTAGCACCCTGGCTAGGGATGGAACTCAGGCGGTAGAGGTGATAGCGCTGAGACTCAACCCCTAGGCCACCAGGGAGATCCCTAGTTGATGGTTTTAAAATTATATTCCGGTGCTGTCATGTTTTGGTTTTACTTCCTGAGAAAATGTATTGCTTTGAAACAGATTTATTCTTCAATATATTGAAGTCTCTCTTAACACTTTCAATCACAGCCTCAACACTCTGTCAAGTTGAACCTGTGGGAAGATGGTTTGAAGCTTTTGTTAAGAGGAGAAACAGAAATGCTTCTGCCTCTTTTCAGGAGCTGGAGGATAAAAAAGAGTTATCAGAGGAATCTGAAGATGAAGAATTGCAGTTGGAAGAGTTTCCCATGCTGAAAACACTTGATCCCAAAGACTGGAAGGTATTTCTCAGTCTTTTGTTCATTCAAATGCTTCAGTAAGTATAGGCAAGATTTCCCGAGGTGTTTCCCATTCCTAAACCATATTTTTTTATTTTTTCATTTATGCATACAAAAACTGGGGTCCAGGCCAGAGGTGCAGGGGGTAAGAGGATTCACCAGAGACAGAGTGGGGAGCAAAACAGGCAGATCTACTGAAATACACTGCTAAGAGGAGCAGCAGGGAAGACAGGAGAGGTCTGCTGCACCATATGTGGGCTAGCTCCATGGCAGGGGTATCGATCTCAGGCCACAAAGGTGATAGTATGACAGTGCTATGACTAAACCGCTAAACCACCAGAGAAGCCCACTAAACTATGTTTTAAGGTGCTTCAACAAGAGAACCATAGTTGAGCACCTGTTTATTGTTAAACCTTAAATGGGGTAACAACAATCATTGGCTACTCTCTGCTGGAAAAATCCAGGAAGGTTACACAGAAAAGAATGTTTGAACTGGTCTTAAAAGGATGAGTGGCAATTTCTGAAGCAGAGAGGGGAGAAAGTGCATCCTGGGACAAAGGAATAAATTGCAGAAGTGTAAAGGACTAAAAGAATATGTATCACTTCTATAGGGACTAATGAAGAGTACAGCAGGGTACTTAGGGGATGGTGGTGAGAAATTAGGTCTGAAATAGACTCTGGACCAAATTCTGTAGTGTCTTTTTAATGCCAGGCTGAGGAAGAAATTCAGATTTTATTTTCAGGGCAATGGGAAATCATTAAAATTTTTAAAGCTAATTTTAGAAAACTAATTCTGGCATTACAGAAAAATTGCTTGAAAAGGAAGGGCAGGATTGGAAGGAAAGTGAGTAGTTTGCTGTTGCAGGACTAGTCCAGTCATCCAGACTTGCCAGTGAAAGCTTGAACTAAATTTGTGGCCATGTGTTAAGGAAGAAGCGACCGATTTGCTTTTTTGTGTGTGCCAGACTTGACTATCCTTGGTGACCTTGGCTGTGTGGTACAAGATGATGAACATATTTGGAAGACCTCTGAGTATTCCAGCTATAGGAGCTGCTAGGTTTGATGTCAGTAGCCAACTCTGAGATGCAGAAATAAATTTGTGGAAAGGTGGTGTTTATATTCAAATTTGCTATGTCAAAATTGAGATGGTAATAACATACGGGTGAAGTCTTGTAGATAGTTAGAAATTGATCTGTGAAAAGAGGTTAGAACCAAAATATTTGCAAGTCACTGGCACATAGGTGGTAGTTGAGGCTGAGGGGAATTGAGTGACATCAGCCAAAAAGAATATAAGCAACTAAGTATTCTATTGCTTAAGTAAGAACTAGTATAAATCTCAAATGTATACACTGTGGAACTAAAGTACACAAATTCAAATCTGGTTCTGTTCATTTAGTGTGCTATGAACTTGAAGAAGTCTACCTGACACCTCAGCACCTCATTTTCCTTTTTGGTACAATGGGGTTGCTAACAGTACAGAAGATTATAGTAAGGATTAATCAAATGAGACATACAAAGCATTTAGCCTTGTGCTGGCACATGATAAATGCAAAACAAATAGTAGGTAATAATACTTCTTATCTCATAGGTTGTTGTGAGGATCAGTGAGGTAACGCGTGTGTATGTATAAGCACTCAGAGTGTTGATTGTCCTTTCATCAATTTTAAAAGGCAAGGATTGGACATTGAGGAGCTTGGATATTTAAGGGGTGGACAGAGGAGGAGAAATAGCATAGTTTACTAAAAAGAATGAAATAGAAAGAACATTCCCCCCCACCCCCCAGCCCCAGACATCTGTAGTGCAACAAAGATTTATTGAGCACTATAGCCTTTGAGAAACTAAGGAAGGAGAAAGTCTCAAGAAGGAAAAACAGTTACCAGTGTCACTGCTATGTGGAGGTCAATCATTTAACATGTAAAATGACAGAAAGCCCCTGGACTTGGCAAACAAAGTTTAGGTGAGCTGATGGAAAGCAGTTCCAATAAAATAGTCGGAATGGCAGAAGACTGCAGTGTGTTGAGAAGTGGTTAGGAGCTGATGAAGTAAGTGGAAAATACTGTCTTTCAAACAGGGTAATAGAGAAAATAGTGACTTGAGGGGAAGACAGGGTCAGAAGGTAGAAAGGGGAATATTGACATCTCCAAGAGGAAAAAGGAAGAGAAATGGAGAAGTTCTGTGGTATAGAAAAGAATAGGTGACATCAGAGCAAGATAGCAGGGTTCATATTTGTTTAGTTTTTCATTCAGCAAATTAGGATCAAACATTTGCTGCATGTCAGACACTGTTCTAGATGCTGAGGATAGTGTGCTAAATGGGAGAGTATCACTGCTCCAACACAGCTTATATGCCAGTGAGGAGGCAGACTCGTAATCAGGAACTCAGTGGTATGGTAGTGTCCTGATGACTGTGTTGGAGTGATTGAGTAGGTAGGGAAGACCTGTAGTGTTGACATTAAGATAAAATATGAATGGTGTGTGAAGATGTGGGAGAGTGACATTCCAGGCAGAGGCTTGTGCAGAGTTAGGAAGTTTGGAATGTCCCAAGAGCTGAAAGAAGACAGGTGACTGGAGCAGAGTGAATGAGGGCGGGTTAGAAGGTAAAGAGTAGTCACTGAAAGCCATTGGAGAATTCAAGGCTGACAATGTTTTGGTACTTTGGAGGGAGCAAAAAAGGAGTGGAAATGGAGAGAGAAGTTTCTCTATGTTATATAAAGTGATGACATTTAAACTGATACCAAAGGATGAGAAGACAACAGCCACATGGAGAGAAGAATGTGCACGGCGGGAAGAATGGCGGCCCTCATGTGGGGAAGAGCTGGGCATCTTCAGTGAACTGAAATGCTAGTCTTGTATTTGGAAATAGTTGACCAAGGTAGTGAATGACAGGACAGGAGCATAGAGATGGAGCTGCTCTGCATATGTGGAGCTCAGAAGAGGAGAATATCACTGTCAAGTGAGCTGGGGAGTCCTCAGTATGTACAGGGGACTAGTGTTCTTATAGCTCCAGCAGTGGGTATAAGCTCACCTAGGACCAATGTATAGAGAGACCAAAAGAACCTCGGTACTAAGTTTTGCAGGTCTCTGAGAAGCCAGTCTTAAAGTGGCTGACAAAAGCTACTGGGTGGTAGGAGGAAAATGGAATTATAGAAACTGAAGGAAGATAACATTTCAAGAAGGAAGTTGACTGTGTTGCTGCTGGCAGTTCCAGTGACGCGAGGGCAGATGAGTAATCTTGAATTTAGCACCTGGAAGTAGATACTGAAGAGAATAGCCCCTGTGGGGGTGGACACTGCAAAACCAGATTGGAGTAATATGAGAATGAATGCTAAAGGGGCTAAAAATAGTGGGCAGCTTTTTCAAGAAGTTTAACTTTGATGGGCAGCAGATTTTAGAAATGGGGTCATAACTAGAAAGGAGGCCATAAAAAATGATAGATAACAAAGCATCTTTTTATACTAATTAAAATAACCCAGTTGAAATTTAAGGTGCTAATAGAAAGATGCTAGTATTTAAGGAGACTCAGAGAAGGTGATACTCAAAGCAGGAAGGATGGTGTAATCTTGATAGAACAGGCTTCCTTAGTTGGGAGGAGAGGGGAAGGGAGATGTCTGGGTATAGATGGGATGGTAAAAAGGTGGTGGCATTTGAATAGATAATTTAAAATTTTTTGTTAAGCAGGAGGCAAGTCTATTAATGAGAGGGTTGAGAAGGACTGTGAGGTTTGATGAGACACTCAAGGACAGAAGGTATGAAATAGTCATCTGAGGGAGTGGAAAAGAGAACCAACTGGAATAAAGTACAGTTGACAGGCTTAATAAAGAAGTGCATGGGCCTCCCTGGTGGCGCAAGGGGTTAAGCACAGCACTGTAAAGTTATCCGTAGCCTCTGCAGGAGTCCCCAACCAACCAGGGAGCTACCCACATGGCACAGCAGACCTCTCCTGTCTCGCCCGCTGCTTCCCTCAGCAGTTTATTTCAGTACATCTGCCTATTCTGCTTCCCACTCTCTCTGGTGAATCCTCTCACCCCCTGCATCTCTAGCCTGTACCCCAGTTCTTGTATGCATAAACAAATAAATCTTTAAAAGAAAAAAAGTGCATCCATGAGAAGTTTGCTTAACACTACTTTTTCCCCACTCATTCTCCAATTCTAGATACACCCTTTGAGTTCTATAAGGTGCCTTCCTCAACTTGTAAATTAGCTCGGATACTAAAGCAGAAATGAATCTCGTGCTTCTATTCCAAGAAAGTTCATCCCTTAGTTTCTCAAAATTCCCATCCAAACTTACCTTCTTTGCTCCACATGGCTCCTGGTCCTGTCATTAACACTGGCCCAACCTATTCAGGCTCTTGTAATTTTCCCCTTAGTTCTGAAATCTTCCTGCCATACCTTGATTTAAGGATGGCCACAGAATATTTACAGATGTTAAGAGATAAAGGGATCTTTGTCAAGTAAGGTTAGAAAATGCTGGGTTTTATGGGTTTCTCTTAGCCTTTTTTTTTTTAATTGCAGAGCTTCTCAGAACCTTTATTATTTTGTGTACATACAAGTCATCAAGAAGGCTATACAGTAATCCATGTAAAACTTTTTTTTTTTAAAGATTTATTTATTTATGCATACAAGACCTGGGGTACAGGCCAGAGGTATGGAGGGTGAGAGGATTCACCAGAGACAGAATGGGGAACAGAACAGGCAGATTGACTGAAGTACACTGCTCGGGGGAGCAGCGGGCGAGACAGGATCAGTCTGCTATGCCATGTGGGTAGCTCCCTGCCTGGGGATCGAACTCACACTGCAGAGGCTGTGGATAGCTTCATAAAACTTACATGACTACCCATCCATTTTATGCGGAACTTCTCATAGGGCTCATGCTATGGGAATGTCACTTTGGAAGACACTGTTTTATAGCGTCTATGTAAGGGATAGGATATATTGCTCTGTTACAAACTTGTTTTCCTTTTGTGTCTTTATTAGAACCAAGATCATTATGCAGTACTTGGGCTTGGTCATGTAAGATACAAAGCTACACAGAGACAGATCAAAGCAGCTCGTAAGTACTAAGTTATTTTGAAATAATCACTGTTGGGTAAAGGGAAATGTTATCCTTTTGAAAAGATATACATGATCATAGTCTATAGCCACAGTTCAAGACTTAATAGCATGTGCTACTTCATCAGCATAATGTACAGCCACAGTCTCTTTTACCTTCAAAGCAATCAATCTTGTGTGTGGACTTTCTCATTAGTGATAAGAAATAAGGGGGGATGGGAAGGCAAGAGATTGTGTTTATCCCAATAAAGAACATTCTTCCATTGACAACTTTTTTTAAGATTTATTTTATTTATGCATATAAGAACTGGGGTACAGTCCAGAGTTTCAGGGTGTGAGAGGATTCACCAGAGACAGAATAGGGAACAGAATAGGCAGATTGACTGAAATACACTGCTGAGGGGAGTAGAAGCGAGACAAGAGAGGTCTGCTGTGCCATGTGGGTTAGCTCCCTGGCTGGGGATGGAGCTCATCCTTCATTGGCTGCAGATAGCTTCATAATGCTGTGACTTAACCCCTTGCACCACCAAGGAGGCCCCGCACTGACAACTTTTTAAAACATCTTATTTCACCTTCCTTTGGAAGTATCGCCTGTAGTGTTCAGTGGAAGCTGCCTTGTTACTTGGGTTTTTTGATGTTATTTTTGTGGTCTTAGGTCACTCCTTAGTTGATGTGAGAGTTTTCTGATGCTTCATTGTTTTCATTGGCAAGGTCAAAAGTTGGTAATGGAAACGTAGGGAACCCAGTCTTCATATGCCTTATAAAACGTCATCCCTTTAATGCTCCTCTGTGCCCTATCCTTTTATTTTCTTGTGGATGTGGTTCCCTGCACGTCATTTGGTTCACCTGATTAATAAAGTGTAAGGAAACCGTAAAGGTGATTAGTTTTCTGTGCTTTATCTCAGGAGTATATTCTGCCCTCTAGCGAATGGATATTGAGGTCAGAGGAGGTGAGATTGTAGTCAAAAGAGTAGGGAGTCAAGGCAAGTCAAGAAGAGAGAGTATTACACTTAGAGAAAGATGGCTAAGAGACCTGTCACATGTTGAAAAGTACTAGTTGAGACAAAATATAGTAAATAACCTCAGAATTTTTCCCATTAATGCTTATATTAAGAAAAATCACAGGAAATGTGTTTCAATAAGGTGAAGGAGTTTATCAGATTATTTCAGAACTATTACTGGAGTCCTTTAAAAGCTGGCGTGATTTTAGAATAAACAAATGTCAGTGCATTTGAATAGTATTTTAATTATACATAAATACCAGGAAAATTCATTTGCCATGGTAAAGTATGTGTAGAGTTTTACTAAATAGAAGAATAGTATGCAAATACCAAATATTTGCTAAATTTGTCTTGATGTATATAAATTTGTAAAAGAAACTATGAAAATTGTTGGTATTTTAAGGTGACGGAATTATCTCTCTAAAGATAAAAAATGCACAGTTGTGGAAAAAAATCCATTCACCTATATTGAGTCAGTTCTTTTTATTGGCATAATAGAAAAATTTGAATATTCTCTAGCCAAAAATTTTACACAGTGCACACATTATTAACATATTTGGAATTAAAATTCATTCCCTTATTGAATATTCTCAGTATTCAGAAGGAAACTTGTTTTTTTAATCTCCCAGATTACCTTTCTTTTTTAAACTGATAGTGTTCTTTAACATCCTTTGCCTTTTTTTTTTTTAAAGATTTTTATTTTTATTTATTTATTTATTCATTTATTTATTTATACAAGCAGTGGGTACAGTCAGAAGCACGGGAGGGTGAGAGAATTCACCAGAGCCAAAGCGGGGAGCAGAGCAGGCAGAAGGACCGAAGTACACTGCTGAGGGGAGCAACAGGCAGCAGGAGAGGTCTGCGCGCCATGTGGGACCCTCCTCCGGTGGCCGGGGAGCAGCAGGGGATCGGGGATCGAACTGGCGCTGCAGAGGCTGCGGGCAGCTTCGCAACCCAGCCATCAACCGCTGCGCCACCGGGGAGGCCCTCTTTTGCCTTGTTTTTAATGTTGGGTAACATATTTTGCCTCCGCCACCAAACTGCCCAGGGACAGAGTATGAAACAATCTTAGACATTCCCTTCCCCCATAATATACATGAATGACTGAAGAGTGATTAGGAAGAATAATCAGTGGGAAAAGAGCAAACAGTGAAACAATGATATCACCTCTCTCAGACTTAAAAGGTTGAAAGGAAAGCCTTGACGTTTCAGTGAAATACGAAGAAACTGCATTGGGGGACGATGTAGGCATTGCCGAAAGAAACTAGAGAGAAATAGGTAGACTTGCCTGTAAACCAAAGCATGAGGGCAAAATGTGGAATTAGAAAGGTGTCTTGAGATTGAGCATGTTTGTAGGCATGTGACAGGTTTCACTACTCAGCACACACTTGAATTTCAAAGGAGAACTATATGACTTAGGCTGGGCTGGACATAATCCATTTTTGCCAGCAGGAGTGGAAGAGTACCTTAAAGAGAATCTTGTGGTTTTTCCCCTGATTCAATGGCAGTGAAAGTAGTCTGTGCTTAGTTTCTGTAATGACCAGCAGTGGGGGGATCATGGAGCACTCTGTTGGGTGATGGTGATGAGTGGACAAAGCTATGCATGCACAGGGGCAAAGGGTATTTAGGAAATCTCTGTACATAGAAAAGGCAGCATACAAACAGATTGAGGAGTGAGTCTGCCTGAATTGAAACACAGCTTAGTCTGAGCTTTGGGCAGGTTGCAGTGGTCATTGCCTCATTGTGCATCATTAACCTGGTCTATAAAATTTAGACAATAATAGTACTTTCTTCATAGCATTATTGAGAAGAGTAATTGATAGTGACTGGCACCTATTAAATGTTTAGTAGAATAGGTAGCCAGTATTCATTGTAAGTGACTCACACAAACCAAGAAGTAAAACTAAGACAACCTCTCCTTCATCTATATATAAAAAAATGAAAGCTAGAAATACACATAAAACATTGTTGAAGGCCTCCCTGGTAGCACAAAGGGGTTAAGTCTTAGCACTTTGAAGCTATCTGCAGCCACTGCTAAATATGAAAAAATGCTTCCACTATAAAATTATTAAGATAGTTATCAACACTTGAAAAATTGGAAATTGTCTCAATACCCAGCAGTAGGAAGATAGTTAAGCTATGATAAATCTACTTGAAATACTGTGCACTAAGCAGTCATTAAAAGAATTTGAGGAGTTGACAACACAGAAAATGCAAATGCTGTAATGTAGGAAAAATTGCTATATGATTATACCTAAATGTTTTCAAGCATATGCTTAAGGAAGAAACAAAGTTATGTGGAAATACACCAAAATGTTACCAGTAATGGGACTGGAACTTTGGCCAATTCTTAAAATAGTTCTTTTGGTTTGTCATTTCCACATTAATAAGCATATATTTTACTATAGGAGATAATATTTTTAAATTAGCATTTTGATTTTTAAAAAGGCTCTATTTAGTTTTTTTTTATTTTTAAGTTTTGATGCCTAAAATGACATTAAATCTGACTTATTTTGTAGATAAAGCAATGGTTTTAAAACATCACCCAGACAAACGGAAAGCAGCTGGTGAGCCAATAAAAGAAGGAGATAATGACTATTTCACTTGCATAACAAAAGGTAAAAAAAATAAAACTTAGAGTTAGAAATTTCAGATAGTGATGATTATGTAATTAACTGGGATTGGGTTTAATCTTCATTTTGAATACTTTGTAGAACTAAACTATTGTTCGGATGTTTTGCTAATTTAAAATCAAGAAGTTGGTTATAGTCTATAATGTGATCCACAGCTGCTTATTGCTATTCACATACCCTTATCCTCATTAAGCAAAATAATATAGGTATCTACCAGATCTAAATGTTTCCTTAAATGTTATTTTATATTTTGACGCTAATTTCTAAAACATTGCATATATACACACCTTTCAAATCTATTCTTGCTGTCCCACTCTTACACAGCATTGAAGCCCAAAGCCCTTCGATGTTTTATAACCTTGGGATCTAAAAGCTAATTTTCTAGGCATTTCTTTTTCCCAAAAATTATGCCTTCTTAAAGGATGAGTATTTAAAGTTTTGTCATTTGCCTTCCAGAAGCAGTAAGAAGTCCAGTTAAATCAAATAGTGCTGGAGCTGTCATTGGATTTAATTTCTCCCCTCCCCACAAGATCACAAATTTTTAAATAAAAAGTGATAATTTTTTCTTTAAGGAAGGGAATTTTTTTTCTTACAGAAAACAAACAAATATAAAGCCCTTGTGATGTGACTATATCATTTTTCCTCAGCTTATGAAATGTTATCGGATCCTGTGAAAAGACGAGCATTTAACAGTGTAGATCCTACTTTTGATAACTCAGTTCCTTCGAAAAGTGAAGCAAAGGACAATTTCTTTGAAGTGTTTTCACCGGTGTTTGAAAGAAATTCCAGGTGAGTTAAGGCATCCCTCCCTCTGATCATAATTCTCTGTTGGCATGCTTGTAGGCCTCCAAATTTCTGCCTTTTTCTTCTGATAATAGTTATGTTCTCTTCCTCTTCCACAATATTTAAGCCCTCTGGTGAATGTACTGCTATCATTTATTTTATTCTCTAAACAGAAATTCTCCGTCTCCACAGTGAAATTCTTTCATACCTCCTGAGATAATTTCCTTTTAAATTTACTTTTGGGGAAAGAAAAATATGACTATGTACTTAATGCAAGTAGAACTTCATGTGATATTGACACTTGGGTGACCGTAATTTCCATTTCTGTTGTGTCCTCTTTATTATTAATAGGTAATCTATTTGATCCATTATCATTTGAGAAAATCTTTTCTATTTTTTGTCTAATTATGATAATGTTTTGTAATGAAGAATGATTTATATTTAATATTAAATCATATGCAACATTTCATGAAGTTAGTTTTTAAACAGTTTATACCAATATTCCACATTTTTTGGTTCCATCTGCACTGGGATGTTTCCTTAGAGCTCAGTTTCACTACACATTGGAATCTCCCAGAGAGCTTTTAAAAACTCAGTTCCACCAGGGAAGATAGTTGATTGGTTTGGAGTTTTTTTGTGCTCCCAGTTGATAGTGATGTCTTTGAAAACCACTTTTGTTTCGCTATTTGGTGCAGCCTAGTATTTCCTTCCTCTCCTCCTCCCTTTACAACAGTGCTAAAGGTGGTTTTAAAAAGTATATACTATGGGCCTCCCCGGTGGCGCAGTGATTGAGTGCTGGGTTGCAAAGTTGCCCGTCAGCTTCTGCAGCGCCGGTTCGATCCCAGGCCTCCGGGTGAGGGTCCCACATGGCGCACAGACCTCTCCTGCCACCCGCTGCTCCCCTCAGCAGTGTACTTGGTCATTCTGCTCTCCGCTCTGGCTCTGGTGAATTCTCTCACCCTCCCGCGCTTCTGACTGTATCCAGTACCTGTATAAATAAATAAATCTTAAAAAAAAAAAGTATATACTATTTTTTCATAGAGTGGAAAATGTACATTAGTAACTGCCTCAGGATCCTTTCAAAGACGATAAGGTGATTAACCTAGAAGCCTGACTCTTAGGGAAGGTGGTGGCAATGAAGGGGTAGAAATCTTCCCCCGTATTAACAATTTAAAGGTAGGCCTATAGATTTCTTGTATGCTACCTGTTTAGGGGCAGGAGTAAATGAGTTTAGGAAAAGAGGCTATTTAGGAAAGGCTTTTAGGAAAAGAGGCTATAGGCTATTTTTCTTAACCAGCCTGGCAGCTGCTACAACTCTGTAATTTAAAAGAACTGACGATAACCTGGTGGCTAGAATACTGTTCCATTGTTTACTCCCCTCACCCTCTCCACCCTTGCTCTCTATTTATTGCACCTTCATTGTCCATACTTCTACTGACCTTCCAGCGCCATCTCTTAGTCATAGATGATATAGGAAAGGGTGATTGGAAGGAATTAGTCAAACCTTATCTTTTAATAAATGAGCTTGTCTGTTTTTATAAATATTTTTGATTGAATTTTTCCTTTTAATATTTCAGATGGTCGAATAAGAAAAATGTCCCTAAACTTGGTGATATGAATTCATCATTTGAAGATGTAGATGTATTTTATTCCTTCTGGTAAGTGAATACACTTTGTGATGTCATTTTTTAAAAGGACACATATTTAATATTTGATTAACAATTGAGGGATGGGAGAATCTAGCAACTTCACTGAACAAAAGCACTATTGAGAAATTAATAAAGATTTTCCCCATAATGCTATATTATCTCCTATATGATATTTAGTTTTTCTGATTTTTTCCCCAGTCTTTTCTATGATCAAGTATGCTTTAGCAGTAAAAATGAAACTTGAGGGATCATTTGAATTCAGTAAAAATAAATGTATTTTATTTAGTGTTCTCTCTTGAGTCCATAAGGAGGAATTCAAGTGTTGTGTTTCAATAACTCATTAAAATAAGCAAATATTCAATCGCCATTTTATGTTGCATGTGCTGTATTTTCTCATTAATTAGCTGGTAAATATGAAAATAAAATAACAAGATTTAGTTTGTCAGTTGTAGTTCATTTTATTTTCAGAGAATACAAACTCAGGATAAAAGAATAACTAATAGGGTTACCAACTGTGACAGATTAGTGAAAGCAAAAGCTGGGAAAACTTAAGTCCCAGGCAAGAAAGAAACCTGAAAGAGATAGTGGAAGTGAATGGGTTTGATTTAGGAGTAGTAAGTGTATTTTAACCAAATAAAGTATTATTAAAAGACGAAGAAAGAAATGACTTGAGGGCCTGCATGGTGGCGCAGGGGTTGAAGACACAGCACTATCAAGCTAGCCACAGCCATTGAGCCATGAGTTTGATCCCCCGCCAGGGAGATAACACACATGATGCATCAGACCTCTCCTGTCTCGCCCACTGCTCCCCTCAACAGTGTATTTGAGTAGATCTGCCTGTTCTGCTCCCACATTGTCTCTGGTGAATCCTCTTACCCCTACCGCCCACACACACCTCTGGCCTACACCCCAGTTCTTGTATGCATAAATAATAAGTAAATCTTTAAAAAAAATAAATGAGCTTAGTGTTAATTTAGTACCAAAAAGGGAGGAATGTATTAAAATAAACTTATCCACTTTCCAGTAATATTTCTTAAAAATGTATGCATCTAAATTGATAGCAAAAGGAAATTTCATTCATTTGTTTTGGCTTTATTTCTGTCTATATTAGGTATAATTTTGATTCTTGGAGAGAATTTTCTTATTTAGATGAAGAAGAAAAAGAAAAAGCAGAATGGTATGTATGTAACTCATTAAAAAAAGGTATTTATTTGGTTCTTTGGTACTGATGATATACAAATATACTACATGTATTTTCATATTTTCTCTTTGTGTATCCTTGGTAAATGAGTTGTTTAGTATTTTGAGATCCCATCTGAAAAGTTACACTAAATCAGTAGTTGGTTGGGATATGCTTAAGAAATTGCCAAAGATTATAATTGTCAAAAAGCTCAATTCAGTAAATTATTTTTCTTCTGGTTATTTAACGTAAATTTACTTTAGTTTTTCTTATGCATCAAATTTAGAGAAAAATTCTTTTGACATGAATGTCCAAAAAAAGTAACCAAAGTTGATATTAACTAGAATTATCCATTAACTTATGTTAGAATTGGAATAACATTTTAGCCTTCTATTGTTTACATGTAATGTTAAAAATCATTGCTTTTTCTAGCCATATCATCTATAAGCAGTAGTTTGCTTTCCAATATTTTGTTTTATAGTCGTGATGAGAGGAGATGGATTGAAAAACAGAACAGAGCAACAAGAGCACAGAGAAAAAAAGAAGAAATGAACAGAATAAGAACTTTAGTTGGTAAGTATAATTGATGTTTTTGTGAAAGTTCTTTAAAAGTGAGAGATTCAAAAGATTAACTTTTCTTCTGATAGACAATGCATATAGCTGTGATCCAAGGATAAAAAAATTTAAGGAAGAAGAAAAAGCCAAGAAAGAAGCAGAAAAGAAAGCAAAAGCAGAAGCAAAACGGAAGGAACAAGAAGCTAAAGAAAAAGTAAGATGACATTTGTAGGAGTTCGATTTTAAATGTCCATTAAATCTTTAATTTTAAAGTAAAGAAGTGGATATCCTTGGAGAACAGGAACTGGAGTTTTTAAGAAAAATTATTAAAAAGCACATGCTGGTTTTATGCAAAAAAAAAAAACTTTTTAGTTTAAAAACTATTATCTGGAAATAGAAGCAGGTGCTACTATGAATGAATACTGACTGGTTGTTTCAATTGTTAGAGGAGTCTTCTTTACCAGCAAATTCTTGAGCAAAAACATGACTTCATATTACGTTCCTTTAATACTATGCTTGTTTCCAATATGTCTGTTTTACTAGTAAATGTATATAGTATTTTCCCAGCTGCTTTTCTCAGCTTAATCTTGTCTAAAGTAGGTTGATGTAACACCTATTTTTCTAATTTAATATATTAAAATAGTTGGTTTTTTTGAATAAGCTGACAAATTTAAAAATTCTACTTTTCTTACTGAATGATTTTACTCACCATTGTTAAAGCAAAGACAAGCTGAATTAGAAGCTGCTCGGTTAGCAAAGGAAAAAGAAGAGGAGGAAGTTAGACAACAGGCGTTATTGGCAAAGAAGGAAAAAGATATTCAGAAAAAAGCCATTAAAAAAGAAAGACAAAAACTTCGAAACTCCTGCAAGGTATGTTGGATTATGATTGAATAAACACTTGATAAATAAATCAAGCTGCTGATTAAGCCTAAAAATATCTTTTTATATTATGCAAGTATAATTAAACTTGTTTGGATACATTTTATCTCAAAGTGTAAATGTTTTTAAATTCACTTTTTTTTTTTTTTTAAAGATTTATTTATTTATTATTCATTTATTTATACAAGCACTGGGTACAGTCAGAAGCACGGGAGGGTGAGAGAATTACCAGAGCCAGAGCGGAGCAGAGCAGGCAGAAGGACCGAAGCACACTGCTGAGGAGCAGCGGGCGGCAGGAGAGGTCTGCGCGCCATGCAGACCTCCTCCGGTGGCCGGAGCAGCTGGGATCGAACTGGCGCTGCAGAGCTGGGGGCAGCTTCGCAACCCAGTGCTCAACCGCTGCGCCACCGGGGAGCCCTTAAATTCACTTTTTAAAAAGTTGACACATACAGTAGTGTGTTAGAAGCATGCTGGGCCCACAACACTTTCACAGATGTGTATTTCAGCATGCAACTGATAGGTTTTGACATTTCCAAGCCACAATTGATTTATTCAAATTAGGACTTAAATAAGATCAATACAGTGGCTTCAATTGTTGTATCTCCTAATTGTATTTGTGACAGAACATCTACCACACCATCTCCTCCCACCCTGTTGTCCTTGATTTGTTGGAAAAACTGGATCATTTGTTAAGAAAATGTCACAATTGGGTTTTGTCTGGTTGCTTCTTTAATGGCGTAAAGTTAACGTTTATCTTAGAACAAATTCTTTTCAAAGTTAAATTTGGGTGGTTTTTAAGAAACTAAAAACTTCCATTTTTATCTAAATAAAGGCCTATCATTTAATATTGGTAATGTGCATTCAAATCATTCTGACCAGAAATTATTAACTCAGAAACCCTAAAATTTTCAAATATAGTTTTGCCCAGGAGGTTTTTTTTTTATTTATTTATTTAAAAAAAAAAATATTTATTTATTATTTATTTATTTATTTATTATTTATTTATTTATTTATTTATTTATGCAAGCACTGGGTAAGTCAGTAGGGCGGGAGGGTGAGAGAATTCACCAGAACCAGAGCAGAGCAGAGCAGGCAGAAGGACCAAGTACACTGCTGAGGGAGCAGCGGGCGGCAGGAGAGGTCTGCGCGCCATATGGGACCCTCCTCCGGTGGCTGGAGAGCAGCCGGGGATCGAACCGGCGCTGCAGAGGCTGCAGAGAGCTTCGCAACCCAGCGCTCAACCGCTGCACCACCGGGGAGGCCCAGGAGTTTTAAAATGTAATTTTAAACTGGTAAAGTCAAGACCAGTATTGTTTTTTATCAAATAGCATTGAGTGAATAAAATTCTAGGCTATAGTAGAGATTGCCACAGTCTTTTGTACTATGCTGTGGTAGTGAGATTCAGTAAGTGTGTACATGCTTACACTGCGTACAAAAATTATCTGTCATCTTAATGTCCAGACACTAGACACTGGCATCATATTCTACTACAGGCCATCCTAAATATTTTTTTTTTTTTAAGATTTATTTATTTAATTATACAAGCACTGGGTACAGTCAGAAGCGCGGGAGGGCGAGAGAATTTACCAGAGCTAGAGCGGGGAACAGAACAGGCAGACTGACGAAGTACACTGCTGAGGGGAGCAGCAGGCAGCAGGAGAGGTCTGCATGCCATGTGGGACCCTCGCCCGGCGGCCTAGGATCTAACCGTCACTGCGGATTCGCAGCCCAGCACTCAACCACTGCACCACTGGGGAGGCCCAGGCCATCCTAAATTTTAACCTAAAATTTGGTTAAAATAAAATTTTCAGTTAATAATTAAAAATAACCTGCCCTAAATCAGACTTTGAAAGCAGTTTAATAAAATACTAGTACACATTGTCTTTTCAGGCTTCTGGTAAAAGGAAAATCTAAATAGAAAAAAATGAAAGCTTTTCCTAAATTTACCTCACAGTTTTGAGAAGGATCCAGTATATCAAAGTGAACATGGCCTCAGGGCAAGCTGCCTGGGTGTGAAGTCATTTTCCACTTATCACTTAGCAGCTGATGCCCTCAGACACTCACCTTAACCCCTTTGTGCCTCAATTTCATTGCCTATACAATAACTGAAATAATACCTACTAATAGAGTTGTAAAGATAAAATGAAATCATTCACCTGTAGCATTTGGCACATTTGGCATATAATGAAAATTCAATAAAGCACTTTATTTTTTTTTTTTTTTTTTTTTTTATAAATTTTATTGTTATATTCCCATACAATTTGCCGCCCCCCATTCTGACCCCAATCCCTCCCCTCCCGCCCCCGCCCCCCTAAAAGTGTCTCTGGTTCATAGTTTTTTGTGATTTGATTTTCACTTTCTTATAGTTTTTATTTTCCTGGTCCATTATTAAGTTTTCTAGATTCCTGCTATGAGTGAGACCATCCGGTATTTTCTTTTTCTTTTGGCTTATTTCGCTGAGCATGATCCCTTCCAGCGCCATCCATTTGCAGCAAATTGCATGTGTTTATCTTTTTTGAATGCTGAGTAATATTCCATGGATATATGTACCACATCTTCTTGATCCAGTCATCTATTTTGGGCATTTGGGTTGTTTCCAAAGCTTAGCTATTGTAAACAGTGCTGCTATAAACATAGGGTGCAGGTGTTCTTTGGAATTGATGTTTCTGTGTCCTTTGGTAAATACCTAGGAGTGGAATTGCTGGATCATATGGAAGCTCTATGTTTAGTAGGTCCAGAAATCTCCATACAGCTTCCACAGTGGTTGGACCAGTTTGCACTCCCACCAACAGTGCAGAAGAGTTCCTTTTTCTCCACACCCTCGCCAACATTTGTTGTTGCTAGTTTTTTTAATATGTGCCATTCTCACTGGTGTAAGATGGTATCTCATGGTAGTTTTGATTTGCATCATTTCCCTGATGACAAGTGATGTTGAACATTTTTTCATAGCCTGTTGGCCATGTTGCATTTCCTCTCAGAGAAGTTTCTTTTAAGCTCTTCTGCCCATTTTTTGACTGGATTATTTTCTTTGTTGTTTTGAGTCTCATCAGCTCTTGCAGATTTTTGTGATCAGTCCTTTATCATTAGTGTTGGTGCAAAAATGTTCCCAGTTGGTGGGGTTTCTCTTTGTTTTTGTTATTGTCTCTTTTGCTGTGCAAAAGCTCTTTAATTTGATATAGTCCAGCTGTTTATCTTTGCCTTCACTATCACTGCTTTGGTGATGTGTCTGTAAAGATGTCTTTGATGTGCAAATCACGTAGTGTTTCGCCTATATTTCCTTCTATATATTTTATGGTTTCAGGTCTTATGTCTAGTTCTTAATCCATTTTGAGTTGATTTGTGTATGGTGTGAGGTGGTGGTCAAGCTTCTCAATAAAGCACTTTAAAAAGCAAGTTAGAAAATAGAAAGCTTGGAGGTTCTTAGAGATGATGCATAAATGACAGTAAAATTTCTAGCATTTGGCAAGTTTGTTTTATTGCTTCCTTCATATGTGAGTTCATTTATTCCTGTGTACCTGATTAGCACTTAACTATATGCCAAGCAGTTATGATTGCTGTGGCTGTAATGATGACACATTCCTTGCTTTCCAGAAATCTGATTAATGATTAGAATGACAAACAGGTAGTTCAAATACTTTTGAGTCCTGGTATGAGATGGTAGCCGAGACAGCTTTCTGGATCTAGTGGGATTTAGCCAGGTGAAGCAATATGTGTATGGCATTAAAGATCCAGAGAATTGAGGTTTAACGAGCCAGAAACAGCTAAAGAAGTGAAGAGCCAGATCTCGTATGATACTGTGTGTTGTGGTAGTTTAAATCTCATCTTGAGATTTTGGTCAAGCTGTTGAGAAGACTAGACCCAGCAAGACCAGTAAGGAGTCTTTTGCTATAACCCAGGTGAAAAAGTATTATGGTTGAGCCAAAGTAGAGATAGGGGAAATACTGGGTGGATGACATGAATTATTAAAGAAAATAGAAACCAAAGGAGGAGGAAGAGATTGAGCATGTCAGTTCAGGCCATGTTGTGCCTGCATTACTTAAATAAAGATACTCAGTAGGTGATTGGATATGTGGGTCTAGAGTTCAAGAGCAAGATCATCATGGTCATGCCACAGTCAACTCAATGGCACTGGAGACCATGCGAGTAAATGAGTGCACTAAGGAGAGGGCATAGATTGAGGAGGGCGGAGGACAAGACTCTGTCAAACACCAATACTTACAAGGTACTGATGGAAAAGGGGAGCCTCAGAAGGAATGACCCAGACAGGTAGGTAGAAAATCAGTAGTTTTTGAAAGCATACGAATGTGTCAGCAGTAAAAAAAAGCATTGGAACCTTAGTTAGAGCCAGGTTACATGGTTTAAGAAAGAAGTGAGGAACATGAGACATGAGTGTCAACAGCAGTTCAAAGAAGCATGGGAAATACTTTCCAGTTCTTAGACATACAGATATATCATGATATTCCATTCTGAACATGATGTTGAATTCATCAGAATTTTGCTAATACCTCTATTCCTGAACACTTTACTTTCACATTTAAAAATTCCAGTAAATTGTATGATTCATTATATACTAGAAAGAATAGTCTAACACATTTTATCATACAGAATTTCTTGACTCTTTAAGTGCTTTTCTGAGGAATCATTCTGACTTATAATATCCAAGGTGTTCCATACTTGCACCTTTCTTCCCTACCCTCTTGATAGTGCCTTTTTATTGCCAGCTGCTGAGAGAGCTTCGTAGGGGGTGCTCAGTACAGTTGTGTTGATTGTAAGGCCACATGTTCACTTCAGGAACCTCTTGAGAAATTCATGCATTGTAATCATGTTCATGGATGTATTTTTCTTGAGTATCAGTAGATAGATGAAAATGTTTGTTTGTGCTTCTAGACTTGGAATCACTTTTCTGACAATGAGGCGGAACGGGTTAAAATGATGGAAGAAGTGGAAAAACTTTGTGATCGGCTTGAACTAGCAAGGTATATCTATACAACTGTGATTAAAGTCTTCTCTTAGATTTTAGGTAAAGTTTCATCCTTTTTTTCCCATTAGCTTACAGTGCTTGAATGAAACGCTCACATCATCTACAAAAGAAGTAGGAAAAGCTGCTCTGGAAAAACAGGTAATGGAAGAACACGTCACATCTACCTCTCTCTCTCTCTCTCTCTCTCTGCCATTTATTTATTTATTTTAAGATTTTTTAATACAAGAACCGGGGTACAGGCCAGATGTGTGGAGGGTGAGAAGATTCACCAGAGATAGAGCGGGGAACAGAATAGGCAGACTGACTGAAATACACTGCTGAGGGGAGCAGTGGGCGAGAGAGGAGAGGTCTGCCCCGCCATGTGGGTTGCTCCGCAGCCGGCAGGGATCAAACTGGCACTGCAGAGGCTGCGGACAGCTTCACAGCACTGCGCTCAACCACCTGCGCCACCAGGGAGGCCCTCTCTCTGCCATTTAATTCTGCTTTTTATCACTTTTACCTCAGTATTTCCTTGCCTGATAGATGCTAAGGGCAATGAGTGTCTTATTTCCCTTTGCATCTGCCAGTGTGCTTTGCTTTTTTTTATTTTAAAGATTTATTTATTTATACATACAAGAACTGGATACTGGCCAGAGGTGGTGGTGGGGGCTGGGGTGAGAGGATTCACCAGAGACAGAGTGGGGAACAAAACAGGCAGATGGACTGAAATACACTGCTGAGGGGAGCAGCAAGAAAGTCAGGAGAGGTCTGCTGCGCCATGTGGGTAGCTCCCTGGCCGGGAATCGAACTTGTGCTGCAGTGGCTGTGGATAGCTTTATAGGTTGCGTCTTAACCCCCTACGCCACCAAAAGGCAGGCCCCTTTGCTTAGTTTTATATTTAAAAAATGGTTGCTACCATATATAGTGTTTGATTTGTGGTGTTTAGCACATTAATCATGTTTTCAAAATCATTATTAGAAAGTTTCTTTCACTCCTTGAACATTTTTGAAGGCTAATAACATTTAGAACCAAGTATCATCTTTGTTCTGTCTAGCCTACACCTTTTATTTTACAGATGAGGAATAGGCCCCGAAACTCAGTTCAGTGCAACACCTGTTTGTAACTGCTGTATCTGGCATTATAACTAAGTGGTTTGGAGAAATGCTGTTGCTACCGCAGAAGTGCTGAATAGAAAAGGCCTAAGGGTCAAAAGGTGGGGGGCACACAGTAAACAATGTAGGTTAGACAGGATGTGCCCATTCAAGGTCTAAGTTATCAGGAAAAAAGCACAGTGAAGAGTTTGAGTCAGAATGAACAGCATAAACTATAAAATACAGGTAGTAGAAGAAAGTTTTGGAGAAAAAATGTGGGAGATGAAGTTAGTTAGGAAAAGTGGACCAAATTAAGCAATTTTTGTTGTGTTTAAAATCGCAGAGGCTGGTTTCTATTACTACAGATATTTTAGTACCATTGTCTGTTAACCTGGCACTTGTGGGCAGGAGACATTCAAATAGGTGTGACTAGATATAAGAATTTCACTGGAAGGATTTGGACTATAAGAGTAATGATGGGTATTATTGGAATCTCTGGGACTTGGTGTCTAGTTCTAAAGATTGAAGTGCAGAAATGAATGAGTCAAAGGTGACTTCAAATGAGAGCAGCTGACAGAAGCAATAAGGTCACGTAAAAAGGTTTTCATTTTTATACTTGAGCATGTTTGAAGGTGACTGGAAGGGAGGATGTAAAGGGTGGAACTTAAAGCAGAGGCCACTTTGTTATGCCTTTACCTGTTTTTTTGTTTGTTTTTGTAACAGAATAAATGGGATTATCTGCTAAAAGGGCAGATATGAACTTAGATTTGAAATGGCCTAATAGGTGAATTAGCCAGTAATTACAGACTTCCAAGATAGTGTCCAAGGCAAATAGATATAACATGACAGGAATGCAGACTGGATGGTTTTTGGTTCCTCAAGCTAAGCTATGCAGCCTGGAAGCCAATGAAGAAATAGCAAGAGGAAGAGCTGGTGTAGGGGTTGGCCTTGGAGGAGTATAGGGTCATTGTCAGGATGGTAGTGAGTACAGAGCCCCAGGCAGACAGGAAGTGCAGAGTAGCAAGATGCTTTAAGTCCCTGACTTATCTATGATATTTGTAGATAGAAGAAATAAATGAACAAATTAGAAAAGAGAAAGAGGAAGCTGAGGCACGTATGCGACAAGCATCTAAGAATGCAGAGAAATCAACTGGTGGAGGTGGAAACGGCAGTAAAAATTGGTCAGAAGATGATCTGCAATTACTAATTAAAGCTGTGAACCTCTTCCCTGCTGGAACAAATTCAAGGTAATGGTTTTAATGAAACTTCTCTTTGACACTTCCTAGAGCCTGGGGATAATGCAGACATGCATCCAAATAGTAAAACTGGTTATAGCACAAACTTTCAGAGATGAGTCTAGACAGACTGCCTTTCATTAACCTCTGTGGGGAATGTTGAAAAGCAAGGTCATTTTGAACCCGCTAGTCTTACCATTTACACCAACACATACACACAGCAAAGTACTTCATTGGTGCCTAAGGAAATTTAAGATCATGACATAAATCTTCACCATCATGTTGTCTCATTCCATCACCAGTTGTCCTTAGGACTAGGTTTTGTGTTCCGGTTTCTCTTTCACAATCCAGTCCTCCTTTGTTGCTTCCCAACTCAAACCTTAACTTACTGCTAGTTTAGAACTCAAAGAAGCCAGAGATCAATCCCCGCTATTTTATAGAGAACAATTTAGAGTTTATCTCCATAAGTGTGTCCACATGGCATTACACACAACTGTGTGATTTGATTTGCATGCACAACCTCTAAGATTTTATACAAATTTATTCTGATTATAAATTGTTGATTAAAATGTATGAAAAGCAAAAGCTATAGTCTAGGCAATATTAAGAATTAGACACCAATTTAAAACTGATTCTGGAGAAAAACTAATCTTTCTGCAGTAAAAATGTAAGGGTCATTCTGGGTTTTGTTTGGGCTTTTTTCCCCTCAATTTATTCTATTGATTGCTCTAGATGGGAAGTTATTGCTAATTACATGAACATACATTCTTCTTCTGGAGTTAAGAGAACTGCCAAAGATGTTATTGGCAAAGCCAAGAGTCTTCAAAAACTTGGTGAGTTTTGCAAAATAGCTTTGTTGTTACTCTAAATACCTATTTTAAAAATAATTATGCAATTTAATAAATGAGTGAACTGATCTGTAATAAATTAAAATTTTTTAATTTCTTAGACCCTCATCAAAAAGATGACATAAACAAAAAGGCTTTTGATAAATTTAAAAAAGAACACGGAGTGGTACCTCAAGCAGACAATGCAACACCTTCAGAACGATTTGAAGGTAATATAAATTTTGTTTTTTCTAAAGTAAAAAATGCTGTGTATCCACATGTGTAAAGATATGTAAGCCCTAAGGCTAAGGTTATGTTGAGGATGAATGGATGTAAAGGGTGTGTTTTCAGGAAATTCATCAATTTACTTCAGCTGACACCACTGAGAATTGTAGTTCTTACATTTCAGATGCAATTACAGAGGGGCTGTGTACCAGTCTACAAAGCAGTTAATGGATATTGGGACTTAATGTGATTCAAGTAAGGTCTGTAGTCTAGGTAATAACATTTTATCAAGGTTAATTTCCTGATTTTGAAAAAGATAATTATGTAAGAAAATGTGCTATTTAAGGAAAAGCATTTCAGAGTAAAGGGGCATCATCATGTGTACATTACATGATTCAGAACAAAGTATATCTGCATGTATAGAAAAAGAAGAAGCCAAATATGGTAGAATGTTCACATTTGAGGAATCTGGATAGTACATAAACAGATTTGAACATAGAGGAATATTCTTCTGAAATTAAAAAATGTTAGGATGCTAACATTGTCTTGATTACTCTAGATCAATGTTTTCCAAACTGCATATCATTACCCATGAGTGGGACATGAAATCCATTCAGTGGATCAAGTACACACACGTACTATGTAGATGGGTATAGTTTAAATTTTTGTTCATGTGTGCATTTTTAGCATGTGACATTGTTTCTTTCTAGTTGCGATTTTCAGTTTAAAGATTAGGAGAGACATAATATTCTAGAGAGAGGAAATCACTCTGTGGTTGCAAATATCAAGGGTGACTTTTTTTTTCCAGGCTGAGCTTTATTTTCTTAACCAGATGATTGTGGCAGTTTCAGAACACCCTGCAGAGGGTGCTACAGGGATTTGTTTATTCTCTTTTTGCTCCCTTACACCCTACCATAAAAAATACAACATTCAGGTATTCACACACTGTTCTGGGCCCTTCTTTGGGACCTGTTTGTACGTTGGAGGCAGACACTGATGGTTGTGCAGGTGGCCAGTTTTTGAGGAGAAATGGCGTCCCTGTGAGGGCAGGAGTGACGGCAGCATGGAATGTGGCCATGATGCCTTTGTCCCCATTATGGGTATAATGGGCAGGCCCCTCTCCAGCTGCACCGTAAACAGCAAGATTACACCATTTGCTTTGAAATGTAATTTCACATAGGAATTTACATATTTCACTAACTTTGGTATTGAAACAAGAAATGAATCCAAACTATGGTGTTAAAAGGGACTTTCAAGTGCTTGCTGGAATCTTAAAAGCGGACTTCAAAAATGCTTCTAATCTGCTTTCAAATGTAAGTTCTCTGCCTTATTTTGAGTAGGTTTGTTTGTAACTTTTCACTGTGTTTCTAATTAGGAAATAACTTAGGTTTCTAGACTTCACTTTGTATCAGGTAAGTTCTACTGAACTGCCCATCATCCATACATACGTCAGTTTTTTAGCCATTTAATATTTTCATTTTCCCACAAAGTGGGAAATGTTTTGTGAGACATGTATGAAATGTCACAATTTTACAGGATGTGGTAAAAATGCCTCCAGCACTGAAACCTTGGGCACTTGGCTTAATTTTGCTACATTATTTTCTCCAGTAAAACAAGAATGTTTCCAGGGTCTAATCCAGATGCACGTTTTCTAAAGTCAGAAGTTTTTAATGACTTGTGATTGTATTTTTTAACCTAATGGTACAATTTTAATAAATTCAAATCTGATTTTTTTCTTGAAGGCTAGTGAATACAATGTTAGGTTGTAAGAGACCAATAATAAAGTCAAGTATATTATTGTGCTTAAATTTTCTCACTATTTAATAGGTTTATGTGTCTCATCTCTAAAAGTTTGTTTAAAGTGACACATCACAGATTTGAATTTTATCAAGATATCTGCACACCGAGAGATCTTCTAGTAAGATGGTACTCAATGAAAATTTTCTATCAATTAGGATATTTTTCAAATTAGAATTTTTCTTACAGGTCCATGCACAGATTTCACCCCTTGGACAACAGAAGAACAGAAGCTTTTGGAACAAGCCTTGAAAACATACCCAGTAAATACACCGGAAAGATGGGAAAAAATAGCAGAAGCAGTGCCTGGCAGGACAAAGAAGGACTGCATGAAGCGCTATAAGGTTTTACATTTTTACATTATTTTTATGGTATAGATTCCATATCTACATTACACTTTTGAGCTTATTTCAATACAATAGTTGTGTGGGCAATATTACAAAGAAATGACTAACTTTAGCGCTTTTTTAGCTCTGGCAATGAAATTTACCTCTTCCCTTGTCTTTTATCCAATTTGAACTGTTATATTGCTAGCATTTGGCATAAAGGTGTATGTTTTGTATGCAAATTCTGAGTTTCTTAAAACCTTCTTTCCTAGGAACTTGTGGAGATGGTAAAAGCAAAGAAAGCTGCTCAAGAGCAAGTGCTAAATGCAAGTAGAGCCAAGAAATGACTTATGACAATCTTTGTTGTGTGTGCATTTTTATAATAAAACTGAAAATACTGTACAATTTTCATTCTTAAAATTATACTTATGGTGGTAATTTGAAAGTGTGCTATTCACTGTGGTATAGTCTTAATCCTTTGAAAGTTTGACAGTACTTGATTCAAATTAATTTTTAAAGTCTCTGTTATATGTTCAAAATATTTTAATTAGGATCATTTTTAATCACGAAGCCAGCGCATGTTACTGCAAATCTGGTTAAAATCTGGTAGCCGTTCAATGGGACCTAAGGATTTAAGAGGAAGAAAAGTTAAAATGGAATTTAAAGTACTTAGCCAACTTACTGCATAACAGAAAAAGAGCCAAGCTTACCAACAGCAGCAATAGCTGGACTCTTATCATAAATATATTTGGTACACACTTCTTGAATTGTCTCAGCATTTACAGCCTGAAATGGAGAGGAAACTAGCAAATAGAGTTTTGTTGTAAAGGCTAATTCTATAACTGCAACTTTTTTTTAGAGCTAAAGCAGGATTTACTACCTGTATTTTCTGCTTTTGTTTTAAGGACCATTTTACACAGGATCTAACAAATTTAAGTACTACTTACATCAATTCTTGCTTCAAGCTCAGGGATGGGAATTCTTCTATTATAACATAACATTTGCCTACCAATATCTTCACATATTGGAGTTGAACCTATGTAAAGAGAAGGAAAAATTAAGTATCAGAATATAAATCAAATACAGTTGACACTTGAACATGAGTTTGAACAGCACTGGTCCACTTGTGGATTTCTTTCTATCCGCAGGTTCCACATTCTGAGTTTCAACCAACTGGATATCAATTGAATCCTCAAATGCGGAACCTGCAGGTACAGAGTGCTGCTTTAAGGGACTTGAGTACTCTTAAATTTTGGTGGTGAAGGGGAGCAGTCCTGAAACCAACCTTCCCCACCCCCATGCTAAGGAACAACAGTGGTTTTTATGGAGTCCTAAGTTGCACAAGGATTTTCTACTGCACAGTATTGTTAACTCCAGTATTGTTCAAGGGTTAACTATATATGACAATAGAACTATTTATTCTTACCATCAAGTTGCAACAACATGTTTGTTTTCAGAAGATTTTTGGCTCGTGCAACTTCACTTTCAGTGACACTTGTACAAAGTCGCATCCTAAAAAGCCATTTGGAAAGATGAAAAAGTCAGGTGTTTATCAGTTATGACACGATATATATTATGCCACAACATACACATGAGTATGGTTTTCGCTTAGTAAAAAGCTGGAATTACTAATGATTTCAAGAACTAAACACAACTAACATATTACTGATTACTTTCCTGGTGCTGTCAATTTTTCAAAAATGAAGTAATTAGAAACAGAGGTTCAATATAAACATAAGGTGACCATGTTTTGTGAAATGGTCATTTTGAGACTTCATAAATGCCTGTCTGTGGGGACAGGTCCGTGGGTCATAGTGAGCTTTTCAAAAGAATCCAGTTGATTCTAACTTAAACCTAATTAAATTATATCCCCCTGTGAACTGATTTAGAAGACACTATTTAAGAATGGTGGTGGTATGGAACTAGACAGAGCTTAATAGTGTTTTAAGAAGCTGTGTGCCTTTCTGCCTTAAAATACTAGTTGATTAGAACATATTTTTCTTTAACAATGGCAACATCACATTTTTCGTTAACACTGTTCTTTCCAAGCCAGACAGCTGAGATTTTTTTCTAAGCTTCTAGTTGACATTTAAATATTTTAAACTTTAGGATCTTTCGAGGTAATCCACTTAAAGTATATGATCTTTAAAAATGTCAACCACTGCTACTACTTAGTCTAGTTCTCAACTAAATGCTAATACCATCAGTGTAAAGAGGAAACTAGTCTGAAATATGAATTGTATACAAGATTTAAGATATTTTCTTACCATTCTTTTTGAACAATATGTACCATGTCTGCAATAGTGGCTGGTTCACAAACCATATAGATCCCCCATAATCCTGTATCAGTGTAGGAAGTATTAAAAGACTGGAAGCTGTGGCAGAGGTTGCCATGACAGGTGAACTGAGCCAGCTTGCTAGATAAACTCTGTAAGAAAAAAGACTGTCTTAGAGAAATGTAGGCATGCATGCTCAATTATCAGTAAGCAAAATGAGACAACTGGCAAAAAGTTAATGTCCTGAGTTTTCTCCAGTCACATCTCAATATTAAGTGAAATTCTTAGACTCAATGAATTTTACCTTTATCTCACTGGCCAATGCATCGCCAAAGAAATGCATGATGTAAAAATAATCTGTAATTAACACAGTCACTGCACCTACTTTTAAAACAATTACATTTCTATAATCAATCCAATGTGTAGGGCTCTTGGCTGTGTACACTTAAAAGTTTGAAATTATATTGCATGTGAATCCTAACATACTTATAAGAAATGTATTTTGTCAATGTACTAAGTACAAAGTACATTGTCCTTTCAAACTGTTTGAAAAGAATTCAGACTAACAGAAATTACAAAAATAGTACAAAAAAAGTTCCTTTGGATAAATTCACATTATCCAAAAATCCCTGTTATTTTACCATATTTGCTATATCATTCTTTTTAAGTATATTTTTTGATGTTCTGTACTTTTTAGTGTGTACTTCTGAAAAACAAGGATATTAACCTCAGTACAATTATTAAAATTAGTATACTGGTAGTGATATACTACTATTAACTAATTTTATCATTCCTATTAATCCACTAACAAACTTCATGGCAAAGGAAATTACTTTTCTTTGGCTCAGGAAGCAACCCAAAATCAGTTTATATTTTAAAAATCAAAGTTAGATTTCCATTATATTTAACATCACTTACCATTCCTCCCCCAAAAGAACGATCCCAGTTGCCAATCAGTGTGTTTGCAACCATAAGGCAGATAGTATCTGGATGTGCCCAACCAACAGCTTCAACAGCTATTGCAATGTGAGACAAAGGCATCTTGTCATCCCGCAATCGAATCTAGTAAGATAAAAAGAACAAAACCCCAGTAAAGATGATCGCTATATAACATGTTTAATAAGAAACAAATTCATCAATCCTATTAATTGCAAAGATAAAATGTTCACCATGACTGGTTTTAAACTTAGCAGGTCTCATTATGTTGCACAATCTAATCTAGAAAAATTTCACTGAAAGATCTCCAATGGAATACTATAGTCATAGCCACTAGACAGTTACTGGTCCAAAAGGTTTTACATTATTTCACTGGTAGAAATATATCTTTTGTGTTTATCAACCTGAATTTTTCTATCTTAATTTAAGCTAATATTGACACAATAGGCTTATTTCAATACTGCCAATATTACAGTTCTATGCAACCGCCAACATTAGACCTCTTTGCAGATACTACTTTGAGCATCATCCCTAAGGAGACCATCCGCCCACATAAGGCTTAAAGCTACTGAGGTAGCAGACTGTCTTCAAGATCTTCCTCTAACAGGTATTCCCCAGAAATGCACTGTGGGCCAAACTCAGCCAAGAGTAAACTGGAAGTCAAAAATCAAAATTTGGGATTTTTGAAATGAAATTACTTTTATAACTTACAGCATGAGATGGGCAGAGTGCCAAAGAAAAAGCACAGAAAGACCAAATTATAACAATGCTCTTAAAATCTTGCTTCCTTAAGAAAAATAGGTGGTCAACTAATCTGGAATAGGAAAGAATGTTAAGAAACAAGTCCATCCTTTCCCAAGTTTCTGTTTTAATTTCTTCCAGTTTACCCTTGTTAGACATGTACATTTTGTATAAACCATAAATATAAGAAACCCAAAGGACTATTTCTAGCTTAGGTGGCTTGCTCTACCTCACTTCCTGTGAATTTGCAGGGAGGCAGAGCTGGTATTTCTCCTTTTTGTGCGGACAAAGTGTCACCAAAATGAAACTTTGCTAATTCAAGCAGTTCATCATGGGAAACTCCTAAAATGAAGGAAAATATTTTCGTATTTATCTAGTAACAGTAGTACAATCTAAAATAGGCAAATACTTTATTCACAGTAAGTTCCAGGTGGTGTATATATATATGTGATGTAAATGACATAATTTGCACTCACTAGAACTATTTTAAGGGTAAGCTCACACGACTTATTTTCTTGGTGTTAAAAGGCTTTTGGTAGCAAAGCTTTCTCATGTAGAGCGAATCTTCAGTTTTGTCAACAAATTGCGTTCACAGCTAATGATAGTAAGACAGCTTTAAAAATGCCACCTTCCATACAAAAAATTAAGTTACAAAAATCCTAGAATGCAAACTAGCAAAAAAAGGTCCATTTTTTTAATGTTACTTTTTAAGTAGAAAAGAATATGAATGTTCTCCATCTCATTTAAAGAAAACTGGAAATTTATACTTATATAAATTTATTTAGCGTGCTATCAGAACTTAGAAACAAAATAATCTAAATTTCTGAAGAAATCCATCACTATTTGTCATCCAAAACGTAGGCATTATATACCCCTTACTATGCAAATACAAGAACCAAGCAGATTTAATCAGTAAAGAATTCTTAAGTATAAACTTAAAAAACAAATGTAGGCAGTGCAAGTGCTTTCAAAAATATGGCCACAGATTCCTTTAAATGAAATATTCCACTAGTATTTTCACAATAAACACAATATACACCAGTATTTTCTAAAACAAATCTATGCTATCAAACAAGCCAGTGAATGACTGTACATTGTTTTCAGAATCACTAAGAAAGAGAGCCACCTTGGAAAGCAATCCAAGGGCAACAAAACAGTAGTTTTGGTGATACAAAGATGATAAACAGAGTAAAAAACCATGAACGTGCACATAGTTCTTAGCACCTGACAACTGCTCCTGCTTTTATTATCTTTACCTATAGTCCTGGCTAGATATTCCAGATACTCAGTTTTTGCTCTTAATACCACCTCTACTTAACCCTATCCAAAGGCAGGAGGAATCTGCCTTTAAAAAAATATAAATAAATAAAGTTAGGTCTGGCCTATTTCACTGAATTTTTAAGATGCTGTTGTTTAGAAGGCACATCATCATTTATGTACCAATAGTAACAAAATGTTCATCTAAGGCTATTAACTAAGCTATCCCAACTTCAGCAATGTCAAAATGAATTCAGGAAAAATACAGTACAACCTATGTTTCCACATGCCATCCAACAATGGCAAAGCTGTCCCAGACAGCTTGGTTGTTGATGCACCCTCTAACCAAGTCTTCTCATTTCCAAGGCAATTTCAAATACTGAATCCCGAGTCAGCACTAGCCACATCAATTACTCAAGAGAATTTCAGACTGCACTGCCTGCCATACAAAGGTAACAATTTAGCTTGACCTACAATAAATGTTTATTATGTAATATACAATACTTGAGATACTTAAGTCTCATTTTCATTGTTACTTCCAGGTAATTAGCAGTTTATCAAAGACAACTAGCATTTTAATTTATTGTCCTTTCTAAGTGAAGAAAAATTAAATCTACAGAAAAGAACACTCACTTTACTCTAAAAAGAGAAAGATAAACCAAAGTGAAACCAATAAAATGTACTGTTTGCCTAAATTCAGAATCTGGATAGCCAGCAGAATCTGATGGAACTTTCTTTGATAACTGGTTTCATACACCACTTAATGGCCTTAGACGAACATTTGGTACTATTGGTACATGAATGATGATGTGCCTTGTAAACAACAGCATCTTACCTTATGCTACTTGCACATTAAGATTCCCACTAAACATTCTCCTGACTCCTATGTATTTTTCCCTCTCTGTAATTATTTTATCTACTGAGTGAATGAAAGAAGAATGAACTTTGACATAGCCATACTGGACAAAAGATGACACTGGTTCTCAAGAAATAATTTAAAGTCTCAAGAGTTTATCCCCAAACTGTAAATACTATCTTCCAAGAGTCACTATCTTCCACTTGAGTCAGTGGTCCTTTTCTTGTAATTCCACTAAGATGTACTCTTACGTATTGGAAAGTTCTTAAGTTTTTCAAATAGAGAAGTTTATTTGAAAAAATCTACAAAGAGAAAAGGAAAAATCTAGTTCCAGTGCACCACATTCCCCTTACATGGCATTTACCTTACAATTTTCTCTGTTGATGAAAATCATAGGACATCTCCCAACAGGACCAAACCAATAAGGCCATCACTCTAATTGTCTAAAATAGCTGTAGGAAAGAACTAACCTCCAGCAGCAGCAAGCACTATTCTTGGTCCCTTATAATGTGTGGTTATATAGTCCACTAAGTCCTTACGATTTATTGACCTGTAAATAGAGAAAAGCAGTATTAAAAGGAAATAAAGCCTAGTTCTTCACATAATATACCTGAAATCAAAGGGAGCGAAGGAATGGACACCTTGTCACTTTTTTTCTTTGAAAATGTTACTTTTTGAGGCAAAACAAAAAAAATGTATACAAACACACATCTGAAATTAAATTGGATCTTAAAGGTATTCTAATGTTATATGCAATCAGAAATGGGATATAAACAAGTATCAAGTCATCTTTTTTATATCTATCAAGAAAAAAATTTTGATGCCATCCAGTAGTAGTTGTAAGTCCAGATACCTGTGGTTAAAATGTAACTATAAGTTCAGGTTATCAGAGGAAGAGGAATATCAGAGGAAGAGGAATACTTCCTGAAACACACTTTTTGAATGTGTTTTTTTTTTTTTTTTAAGATTTATTTATTTATTTATTTATTTATTTATTTATTTATACAAGCACTGGGTACAGTCAGAAGCGCAGGAGGGTGAGAGAATTCACCAGAGCCAGAGCGGGGAGCAGAACAGGTAGAAGGACCGAAGTACACTGCTAAGGGGAGCAGCAGGCGGCAGGAGAGGCCTGCAAGCCTTGTGGGACCCTCGCTGGTGGCCGGGGATTGAACTGGGACTGCAGAGGCTGCAGGCAGCTTTGCAACCCAGCGCTCAACCGCTGTGCCACCAGGGGAGGCCCTTTTTGAATGTGTTTTTATAACTCACAAATTTTTTCCCCAAAAATCAGATTATATAATACTTACTTGATATTTTCAGTTGGTCCCAAAATTGTCCGTCCAAGTGCAGTATTTTGATAAGCTGTTGCATGAAGATAATCAAAAACAACTTCTTGTAAATTGGTTTCAACTTCCTGCATCTCTCTAAGGATTACTCCACGTTCACGTTCAATCTCTGCCTCTCCCAATGTGCTGTTCTGTATTATATCAGCAAGAATTTCTACAGCTTTTGAAAATAAAACACGAGAAGAAACAGTAAGACTTAATTTTCACCATTGAGATATGTCAAACAAGCATTAAAAAACCACGATACTGACCATGATTCAATATTGACTAAATGATTAAACTGAGAAGAAACAAATTTTCTATACATTCAACATACCTAAAAGGACAATATTAAAATAAAAAATGTAAAATGTGAACCCCTGTGGTATGGAAGGGCTTGGGGGAAAATTTCTAAATTTGCCTTATAAGACTATCTCCACCACCCCCACCCCCCAAAAAAAAAAGCCACAGAAATCTACATATGAATGCACTGTTCTGTATGACATTTAGAAAACATTAGAACAACTAGGTTTGGGTAAGAGTCTACAATGCTCAAGTATTTACTAAACAAGTTCCCATTGCAGTGATGCTGCTACATAAAGAAGCCAGAATCATCGAAACCTACATATGCCCCCAGTGAATCCCAGTGAACTTATAATAGAATGTGTTCTCTCAAATATACTTCCCCACTTAATTTAATCCCAGTGCTTATTCCCCCTCCCTTTTGGTCATTGTTGGCTAGATTCTTATCATTAGCAAAGTCTCTGATAAATAATGATCTAACAGAACTGGAGTAGTTAGTAACTAAAGAATAGGCACCCCCAAAAGAGATACATATAACCATGAAAGGGATTTAAAATGACCCTTGGGAAAAACTGATGAAACCCTCAAAGACCTAATTTTACTGCTATAAAAAGAATCATTAGGGCCTCCCCCGTGGCGCAGCGGTTGAGCGCTGGGTTGCAAAGCTGCCAGTAGCCTCTGCAGCGCCGGTTCGATCCCTGGCCACCAGGTGAGGGTCCCACATGGTGCGCAGACCTCTCCTGCAGCCCGCTGCTCCCCTCAGCAGTGTACTTCGGTCCTTCTGCCTGTTCTGCTCCCTGCTCTGGCTCTGGTGAATTCTCTCACCCTCCCACGCTTCGGACTGTACCCAGTGCTTGTATAAATAAATAAATCTTAAATAAATAAATAAATAAAATCATCAACAACCTTGTAAGCGAACATTTGTTTATTTTGCTTAGTACCAAGAGGTTTGTATCAAACATGGAATAACAACAATTAAAATGTTTCACTACATAGGTATGGCTCTGGAAGTAGTACATTCAAATCAAGTGCTGAGTCCTTGATTTGCATGTGTCTTAGGCCTAGAAACATTTGATAGCATTTGTTGTATTTAAGGAAACAGTAAGATGCTCCCTCAACCAGAGATTGTTTCCTTTTTCACATTTCTAGGGGTTACTCTTCACAACATAAAACAGTACTAAATTACTTCTGAATCCTCATGAAAATTACGTATCTGTGGTATAAATAATAACAGTACCTCTCGGCAAATCTTTAGAGAATGCTTTGGCATAATATACAGTCTGCTCTCTGGAAGTATAGGCATTGAGATGAGCACCCATGTTTTCAATCTCAAGTTCCAGATCTAACTGGGATCTCTTTTTGGTGCCCTGAAATAAGAGATGATAAAAAGTGTTACACTTTTCCTTTACATCTTATCTATTGTAAACATTTCAGACAAAGAACCAAGAGAATATAAGCTTATATCAGTTCCATGCAAGGAGTCAAATCAGGTTTCTAAAGTACATCAGGCTTCAGAAATAGTGATATACATCCAGATGACGCTGATATCACAATAGAAAAGCTTTGTTTCACCTTCATAGAGCTATTATCAATTTTTCAGATAATCCTGGATTAAAAAAAATAAAAAATAAAAATAAACCATGCTATAAATTTAAGTAGTTCTCCTTGCCTTACACTGAAATTTTGTGCTACCACCTCTTAAAGAAATTGCATTTTATGGATCTAAGAAATTATCCAGCGATTCCATACCTAGGAATCTACCCAAAGGACCAAAAACCACTCATTTGAAAGGAAACCTGCACTCCTATGTTTATTGCAGCACTATTTACAGTAAGAGATAGAAACATTCCAAGTACCCCAAAGTAGACAAATGGATCAAAAAGCTGTGGTGTATCTACACCATGGAATATTACTCAGTGATGAAAAAAAGACATTATGCCATCTGTGGTAACATGGATGGAGGTGGAAGAGATTTTGCTAGCCTAAATAAGTTAGAAGGAAAAAGATAAATATCGGATGGTCTCACTTATATGTGGACTATAGAAAAAACAAACAAAAGGTCAAGAGAAAGTCAAAACTAGAAAGCTGACCAATAAAATGTATGTTGGTAAGGTGGTGGTGAAAAAGAAACTCATCCACTGTTGGTAGGAATGCAAACTGGTACCAGTGGAAAACTGTATGGAGATTTCTCAAGAAAATAAAAATGGAAATTCCATATGACCCAGCAATACCTTTATTCGTTATACAAATAACATGAAAACTCTAATACAAAAAGATTTATCTACACTATGTACATAGTAGCGCTGTTCACAATTGCCAGTTCACAGAACCAAACCAAGTACTCTTCAACAGGTGAATGGATAGAGAAACTTTGGAGCATATATCCTCAATGGAATATTATGCAGCTGTGAAAAAGGATGAACCTGTGGCATTCAGGACAAAATGGATGAACCCTAAGGTGATTATGCTGAGTGAAATCAGTCAAAAAGTGATAGATTTCAGATGGTTTTACTTACCTGCAAAATATAAACACCCAAAAAGCATTACAAATACAATAGAAGAAATGAAACTTGAACTCTGAAAAAAAGAAAATGGTTACCAGAGGGCATAGGGAGATGGGTAGATGGAATGAAGGAGGGGGGCAGATAGGGTATGGCCATGCATGGCTTGGTGGAAGGGGGAAAAAATGTCATTGTATATACTGTATATATCTGTATTTTAAGCTCAACATCATTACAATATGCAGTTGGATTGTATAAACTATTACATATTTTCAAACTTAATTTTACAGCATAGTTCTGAACATTGGATGGTAACATTTTGTTTTCCTGGAACAGATTTTGAGTAATCTGAATTGTAAAATACTTACAAACCTGGGCTATATAGGTAGCCAGGAAATACATAGGCATAGATTTACTAAATCTGAGAACAGAAATTCTAATCCTGGAAACACTGAACATTTGTATAATTTCATAATGACTAGCAGTAAAATAACTGATTTAAAGTCAATATGTTTAAATCAAAATGCATTCAGAGGGCTCCCTGGTGGTGCAAGGGGTTAAGCACCGCAATATGAAGCAATCCACAGCCTCTGCAGCACGAGTTCGATCCCCAGCCGGCCAGGGAGAAACCCACATGGCACAGCAGACCTCTCCTGCTTTGCCCACTGCTCCCCTCAGCAGTGTACTTCAGTCAATCTGCCTGTTCTGTTCCCCACTCTGTCTCTGATGGGTCATTTCATCCCCCACACCACTGGCCTATAACCCAGCTCTTGTATGCATAAATAAATAAATCTTAAAAAAAAAAATGCATTCAGAAATCACAAAACAAAAAAATTGTGACTATATTCAAGATTTGCTTTCTATTGTTAAAATGAGTTGATGTCATTGGCAGAATGTTAATAACTGATGAAGCTGGGGACTGGACATATTGGAGCTTCTGTTCGCCTTTCAGATTTACTAATGTTGAAATTTCAATAAAATGCTTAAAATAGCTGAAAAAAAAAATAAATCTTAAAACTTGCCTTGAAAGCCATGTGCTCCAGAAAGTGAGCTGTTCCATTATTCTTCTCATTTTCATAGCGACTTCCAGCATCAATCCAAAGTCCAACCTTAAAGCAATCAAGGAACAATCGTTTTCTTTTTTGGCAGTGGAAAGAGAGAAAAGGATAATTTCCTCCCTTTTTCTGACAAATGCTTTCCAGTTTTAACAGTAAAGTTTTTTTTGACTGAGTGGATTAACGACATATTCCTTTGAAATTTTTGTCATCAGGGTACTGCCAAGTGGTACTATCTACTTTCCAGCTTCCCTGAGGACTCAGAATCTTAGCGCAACTTGTTACTATAATAAATTAACAACTATAGCAAAAAGAATACCAGATATTGCCAGAAAAATGTAGGTTCAGATCCTGGTTCTTCATGTATAAGCTACCTCACCCTGGATAAAATCTTTTAACTTCTCTGAACCTGTTTCTCAACTGTAAAATTGGTCTGATGTGTGTACTACAAAGAACTATTTTAAAGATCAAATGAGATATAAAAACATCCTGCTGAGTAGCCCAGCAAATATACCCCTTTCATTATCATCAACTAATAACAGGTAACAAGAACCAGATGTAGACACACAGGGAGCACCTGCAACTGGCAAGGAAGACTCACTGGAAGAAGGGTCACAACTGAGTCACCTGATAAGGCAAAATAACAGCCCCTATTTTTCAACCACCAGCCAACTTAAAAGCTGAGCCTGAAAATCAACAACTGAATCACCTACCGTGCATGTTGAGAGCCCAGAGTCTTCAGAGGCCACTCTGAGCCCATTCTCCAAGCAAGTTACTCGTGTTTCTGGAACGTTCAGAACAACTTCTGTAGCAGCCTGTGTACTTCTCAATCTGTTCCGCCCAAGATGTAATGACTAGCCAGGAATAGAAGGGTGGAAGAGAAGAAGCAAAACACATCACTATTCTGACATTAAACGTTGATTAAAAAACAAAATCTATCTCAAAAAGACTATCAAATACTCCTCCCTCAACTTCTGTTCCATTAGGAGCCCCTGGCCTGGCCCACGGAGCTTCCCTAACCACCTGCTGAAGCCCAAAACACGCCCTGCCCTTGGGGAAAATGAAGTTACTATCTAGAGGTGGTAGTTCAATCTCCTCGAAATCTTAATATTCATTATGGGGAAGCAAGGGGGGAGGGCTGAGAAAGTACGTAAGAATATCTATACACAACATAGAAATGACTTTTATGCTTTAGCTGCTTCAAGAAAAGCAACAAGTTTGGACCTGGACGCTCAGAAGGCCGGCAGAGTTGCCGACGACACACTCTGGCGTGCGTTTCCGCAGCTTCTCGCCTCTCCTACAGCCGGCCAAGTCCCAGGGCTTGGGGAAGGTTAGAGGCTCGCTCGTGAGAAAAACGGCACAGACAAAATTTTCCTTTGGGTGCCCCAGGATTTCGCGAAATGCCCAGCCGAGAATAAAGACACCCAGTCTCAGGCAAAGCAGAACCCGCAACCATTTCACTTTTTTTTTTTTTTAGTTTATTTATTTATTTATACAAGCACTGGGTACAGTCAGAAGCGCAGGAGGGTGAGAGAACTCACCGGAGCCAGAGCAGAGAGCACAAGAGGCAGAAGGACCGAAGTACACTGCTGAGGGGAGCAGCGGGCGCGGCTGCAGAGGTCTGCCGTGCCATGTGGGGACCTCGCCTGGTGGCCGGGGATCGAACCGATGCTGCAGAGGCCACGGGCAGCTTCGCAGCCCAGCGCTCAACCGCTGCGCCACCAGGGGAGGCCCAACCAGTTCACTTCTTAATGGCCCCCAACTTGCAACTGCGCTGAGCACGCAGACTTGATCAACACCGACTCCTCGGTGCTGCGGGGGCGAGGCCAGTGCCCGGGGCCATCCCGTGCGTCCGCCGCAGGTCGCGCGGGGTTGTCGGCCGCCGCCGGCCCAGGCCGCCCGGGCCCGTGACTCAGGGCCGAGGCGCGAGGTCCCGCGGGGAAAAGCCCGGCCCGGGCCCAGCCAAGTGAAGGGAAACTCACCCGCCCGGCCGCGCCTCGGGCCAGAAGCCTCTCGGGGATACCCCAGAGCTGGCGCCGCCGCGCCGCCGGCAACAGAAGGGCTCTGGCTGCAGCCGCCACGGCCGCCATCCCCGCTCGGGCGTGAGGGGAGGATGTGCTTCCGGGTCCCTGACCTGAGGGCCCGGAGAGAAGGGCGGGCCCCACCTTGTGGTCGCGATGGGAATGACAGTCCTCAAAGGACGGGCAGCTAGCTCCTGGGAGGGACTGACCTGGGCGTGGTGCTGAGAGACCCTGTATTAGTGCTACAGGGCAGGGAGAGGGGCAGCCCAAACCCTGCAAACCTGCCTATTCTAAATGGGTTCTGCCATCCGCCACATTAACATAAAACTTGAGACTTTAATGGGAAGGAACTTTAATAGAATTAGGAAACAATACAGGAAAGGCAAAGAATCTAGTTTCTAAATCAGGCACCCAAAGTTACCCGTCTCCTCGTGGGTAAAAGTCCACCCAAGCAGGATTGGCCCAGAGCAAGACCTCAAAGCCTGCCACAGGTCTGAAGCATCTTCCAGTGGGGACCCACAGCAAAGGGTCAGAAACAACCAGACAAGCCCGGAAGGAAAAGAGAAAAATCAAGATAAAAGCGGCCATTGTCACCTCCCCACGGGTCTCACCCACATCTGTGTCACCCAGTCCACGACCAAAAGACAAGCGCAGTTTCTTCACGTGTCTCTAGGCTCCATGTACCTCCTCCTTCTGGCTCCATCCTGCTTCCTTCCTCAGTCTCTCCTGCAGCTTCTCCTCTCCCTGCTCAGCTCCACCCTCCCTTGGGTGGGGCAGGGAACCTCCCCCTTTCCCGGGGACCACCCTGTTACATTAGCAGCTACTTTTTTCCGATCTACAATGTGCGAGACACAAATGTGGAGAGTTGAAAGTAACCTGGTGCAATATATTATGCCATTGGTGACTGCAATTGATTGCAAAAAGTTAGACTACAATCCCAACTCACGGTAATTAATGAATTTTAAATAGTGTTATCAATTATTCGCTAAGGGACAAAAACTGGTAGTTTATGAAAATCCCTATATATCTTCATAATGCAAATAGGTAGAAATCAAAATAATTGAGGTGGTTGAAATAAATAAATCTTCATAAATATATGAAAAAATATAGTTCACTACTGAGGGTCATAAAATGGTGGTATATATACATTTACTAAGTAATTAGGTTCATTCTTGAAAACTATGGGATGGACAACTCTTAGATTTTTAAATCAAATGAACAAGGTTGCTTCTTGAATGCCTGTACACTATGTTTTCAACAGGGATCACACTGAATTTTGAATGCTTTATTTAGACTACGTGTGAACTTAATATGTTTTAATTTAAAAAACTGAATTTATTTTTAATGTGTAAAAAAGGAGACATGTAGTAAGTGTTAATGAGGATTGCAAAATTGGAGCTTGCTTCTGCTGGTAGGTATGTAAAATGTTGCAGCCTTTGGAAAACAATCTGGGGGTTACTCAAAAAGTTAATCGTTGTTACCATTTACTTCAGTGGTCAAAGGCAAAATCCACAAATTTAGAGATCTAATTGGGTTTGTTAAATGATCTATGAATTGGGCACATCTCACTTAAATAATGCAAGGGGCAGACAAATTGCAAGGTATTTGTAGACATAAAGAGGGCAGAACAAGAGTATTTAGGAAACTGGTTACTTTAGGATTACACTTTTTTAAAAAAAAAAAGATTTATGTATACAAGAGCTGGGGTACAGGTCAGAGGTGTGGGGGGGTGAGAGGATTCACCAGAGACAGAGTGGGGAGCAGAACAGGCAGATTGATGGAAGTACACTGCTGAGGGGAGCAGCTGGGGAGTCAGGAGAAGTCTGCTGCGTCATGTGGGTTGCTCCCTGGCCTGCCGGGGAACCAACTCATTCTGCAGAGGCTGCAGATAGCTTCATAGGTTGCATCTTAACCCCTTGTGCCACCAGCAAGGCCCAGGATTACACTTTTTTTTTTTAAGAGTTTATTTATTTATGCATACAAGAACTGAGGTGCAGGCCAGAGGTGCAGGAAGTAAGAGGACTCACCAGAGACAGAGTGGGGAGCAGAACAGGCAGATCCATTGAAATAGACTGCTGAGGGGAGCAGGAGGGAGACAGGAGAGATCTGCTGCACCTTGTGAGTTAGCTCCCTGCCTGGGGATTGAACTCAGGCCACAATGGCTGGCAGTAACTTCATAGTGCTGAGACTTAACCCCTGCACCAGGGAGACCCAGGATTACACTTTAGGGAGAAGTTGAAACTGCAATGAGATTAGGTCTGAGTGTGGTTGGGCGCCAGCATGAAGGACTCCATAGAACCTGTTCTTTCTACTTTTTAACACCAGCCATCCCGCTCTTAAGTATATGCCTGAGAGAAATGAAAGCATTTATCCATTTTTATGCCAATATTGATAATATAATTCAAAATAGCCAAGAAGTGGAAGCAACCTATATGTTCATCAACTTATGCACAAGTAAGTAAAATATGGTATATCCAGAAAGCAGAATATTATTCGGGAATGAATGCTATTCACTCCTAAGCAAAAAGAATGAGGTAATCTGAGTGATAAGGCCCCCTCCCCCTTCCCTAGATTGGTGATTGGCAGAGGTTAAATTGGGTAGGAAGAAGGACAGGAGCTGCAGGGAGGTAAGTATGACTACAAAAGTTAGCATGAGAAATCCTTGGAACAATTCTCTGACTTGAATACTGTAAGGGCTACATGAATCCACACATATAACATGTAAAACTAGAGAAATATGAAGGGCAGTGGATTACATCAAAGCCCACTTCCTTGTTGTAATATGGCATTAATATGTTACCATTGGGACAAAATAGATGAAGGGCAAATGAAATCTTTCTGAATTATTTCTTACAGCTTCATGGGAATCTACAATTATCTCAAAATAAAAGTTGAATTTTTTGAAAAAAGTTTACATTTCCAAAAATATTTTTTTTTAAATGAGAGCGAACACTGTGGGAAAAGTACTGTTCTCTAATTATTGGCCCCATGTATCACAATTATGCATTCAAACACACACACACACACACACACACACACACACCAACCACAGAGGTCCTTATACAAATTGAAATGGGGAGAGAAATTCAGAATTGTTCATCTGGCCATACTAATAAGGTAATAAAGGGAACTGCAAATGAATTGGAGCAAAAAAAAAAAATCTTTGCAAGTTTCATAAAGCTTTCCTGATACAGCCTTTTCTACAATGGCTCCCTGGAGATGAGGGAGCCATTAGTGTGCTATGAGATGTGTAATGTGACAGTTTGAGCAGCTGCCTGAGTCTGGCTGTGGTGCTGGCAGCCTTTGTGCACAGTTTGGATTCATTGAAGGGCCTCAACTTTATTCCTTTTTGTCTTAATGGAGTGGCAAGTAGCCTCTGAGTTGATTACATAATCACCCTGGGAACTGAAGCCCCAGTCAATCCCTGGGAATGTGGCTCATGGCCTATTGTTAATATCCTTCTATTGTTAATATCCTTCTTGTGCACATTTCTATGTTCTGAATATTTCTGAGTTGGAGTGTGTGTATATATGCTTATAGGTTGACGGATTTGTCCCTGGCAGTTAAAAAAGTAGGGCGCTTATGCAAGCAACTTCACCCCTTTCAATCCTTTCGTTCGTGCTTATTAATGACCAAGTATAATAGGAGAAAAGCAATTTCTGGAAAATTTGAGATCTCACTTACCCCCATGCAGGCCACCATATCTTTTCCACAGAAAACTAAGCCCAGCATTTATGATGTTAAAAAAATCTTCACATTCATTTTCTCCTGGTCTTACATCCAAATTGAGAGGATCATTCTGCACCCAGTGGTCTTTCTGGGATGTTTAAATCATGAATTCTTTATTTGGTTCTTCTCCATTGTTCATTCAGTGAGAGCTCCTTAATTTATACCAAGTTGGTATGTACTGAAGTTTCTGCCCCTGCTTTATAGTTCACTCCACAAGCCTACCTGGAGACCTTCAGCCAAGTGTTCTGCTTTAGAGATCTGCAGTGTTTCCTCTAGCATAAACTTAAACTTGCTAAACCTCCCCACACACACATGCACACACTAACACCCCCCCCCCAAAGAAAAAAAAAGTACCCCAAGGAGATTAGTGGAGCGTGGAAGAAGATTCTAGATTCTAATGAAATGTGAGGGGAAAAAAACTTAATAAATATCTCAAAACATTCCTGCAAGACTATCAACCAATGAACTCACCTGGATCTCAAAATACTATTCTTCAAACATGGGCATAAGATTCTTCTACAGGTAGAGTAAACCTATCTTCAACATTTGCTCAGGTTTCTGGTATGTAAGAAAAAGAATTCAGAAACCATAGGGAAGATGATTTTCCAGGATGAAAAGCTCATCGAGCCAATGATTATCTGTTCTCCTGGGTCACCTGTGTGCATCCCTCCCTTCTTAGCCCTGACTTCACCAAATTTGGCTAAAGATCTCTAATTCTGAAGTAGAAATTTGGTGATAAGAAAAACTTGTAAAATCTCCAACTATGTCAATAAGCTGGCATGAAACGTCCCTACTTATCTCAGTTGACTTCGGTTTAGCAGGCAGAATTCTAGGGTGACCTTGCCAGGACCAGCACCCGCGAGTACTCCACTTCCCCCAGGCTCATTCCTGTGTTAGGTCACATCTTTCGGAAAGGTGAAGGAATCAGGTGGAATCAGTGTACCTAATGAGGTGATTGAAGTTAATCAAATACCTCTGGGTGGGTTTTACTTAACCAGGTGAATCCCTTTAAAAGGATTTAGTGCTCCTCCCACCAGTCTAGTCTCAGAGACGCCCGTCCCCGCGAATTTTCCAGCCACAAGGAGACGGCTTCTGGGCTGCTTCCAACAGCCCTGTCAACTTGGAAGAGGACCCCAAGTCTCAGACGGGGCCCCGGCGCCGCCTGACACCGTGACTGCAGTCTCGTGTGACCCTGCGGGGAGGATGCAGGTAAGTCATGCCCAGACTCCTAATCCACAGAAACGGAGATACACGTATGTCGCGGGAAGGTGCCAAGTGTGTCTTGTTTGGGTAGGCCGTGGTGAAAAGAAAAATGTGCAGTTGAATCTCCAGAGATCTGGCTGCCAGTTGTGAGATGACTGTTTTGTTAC